ACAAGTGGAGAAAGGGGACTGACCACAACAGGCATACGTGTGATAAATGCAGCAGGCGAATTTATACCACCCATGTTGATATTTAAGCGTAGCAGACTGAATGATGCCTTAAAAAAAGGAGCTCCTTCAAAGACAGCGTTTGGTTGCTCGAAAAAATGGATGGATAATATCAGAACTTCAATGACTTCAACATTTTATTAAATGCACAAAATTAGAAAAAAGTGATCAAAAACAAATATTACTTTACTAGATGGCACCCATACCAAATTTATATAAATTTAACATTTATACTTTATACAAATTTAACTTTCTAATTAATAACCAAAAAAATGTTTTAAGTTGTCTCAGACTGAATTTTTTGTAATTATGTAGTTGTTCATTGTGATCTCTGGTTATTAAGTATATTTCTGTATAGTTTATTATGTGTTAATTAAAGTATATTTTCTAAGTACGACTTAGGCTATAGGTGGTACGAATTAGGCAACTAGGTGCCTTAATCGTACCGAAGGTAAGTTTTTGAAAATCGTTAAAATATCTATTTTGATAAAAGATTTTTCAGTTTTTATTGTTGTTGATTAAAAGGCAACTAAATAAATATTCAATACATGCAGAAGATTTTGTTTTATATCAATTGCGCTGAATATAACAGTATTATTTCCTTAGGGGTTACGACTTAAGCAACCTTACCCTACATAGCTACTTGCATAGACATGTCTGTCCCCTTCAACCGCTGCTGTTGAGATAGACTAACACCAAACAAGTAGTACTAACAGCGAACACTTGCCAACTACATAGACATACCAATCACATTCACCCGCTGCTTGTGAGATCAATTGGTACCAAATAGGAGGCCGACCAGCGGAAGTGCTAATAACTAAGCCTGTACCCTAGACATGCTGATTCCTTTCACCCGCTGTCGATGAGACTAATCAGCACCAAGGTACGACTAACCAGCGGTTAACATTTCTTTTTTTTCATCATTATTGTGCATACAAACTTGAAATATATATTCATATTCCATACATATAATAAAATTGTTACCAAGCCAAATCTATACATATGTATAACATATTTTGGAAAATCTTATAAAAATAAACATTATTATCGATACAGAGGCCGAATCTATAGTTTTTAGAATTTTTGTCTGTCTGTCTGTTACCGCATCACAGAAAAACCACTGGAGGGATTTTGATGAAATTTGGTATGGTGATAAACATATACGGGTAAACATATAGGTTACTTTTACTCTTCAAAAGAAAGATCCAAAAGAAAATATCACATCTCTGAGAAAAAAATGCGAAAACTGCAATGTAAGAGTATAGTAATATGTAAAACCTAAACGTTTGGTTTTTGGTCATCAGAACGCGGGCGGAGCCGCGAGCAATGCTAGTTTTACATATTATTAAAAAAAAAACAAACAAAATTAATAGCACAACCTTAATTACCTAAGTAATAAATTGTATTTATTAGTTAATATAACATAATTATTACCTTAACAAATTTAATATTATTTTTAGATAGCATTTTCAACAGTATATTTCCTTCCACCCATTCTCCAGGCCAAAATCGCAAATCTTTTTTTTGCAACAATTATATTTCTTAAAATTACCTGGACCCTTCAGAGCATAGCGGTCATTGGAAAGAATCTTAAAGAATTTCATAGGGACCTTTAAATTTCGGTTTTTACTTTGTCATTACATCTATTATCCTGATTAACATAAACTAAATAACCTACCTTATAAATTTTAGTGTTTCTTCTAACCGAATCAAAACGTAGCTTAAATTTTTCCGCGACTTGTTGTAATATTTGACTAGCCAGATCAGCTCTCACATCAATTTTAGGCTCTTAAGTTATCGTCATCGAGAACATAATTTAATCGAACTTGCACCACTAGTATATTTTAATTTACAAAAGATTAGTTAGGAGGTCAATTGAATATTGCAGTGTTATTTGGAATCCTCAATATTAAAAAGAATATTGAAAGAATTCAAAAAACATTTCTCTGGCACCTTTGCTATAGCGAAAATTTAATTAAACAACTGCTAACATATAAAGACAGAGTTAAACATACACAGAAACTGATATGGACATTCCAATAAAATTAGAAAAATTGAAGTCTCTGATATTAAACTTACTTATGGTGATAGCTTATAACTTATATCTATTGTGTTGCTTATTTGCTTTTTTTTTCCTTTCTTCTTTTGTTGCTTTAAGTAACTAATTATAATAATGTCTTTGATAATTTTTTTATAGATTATAGTGCTATTATTTTTTAATTTTAAAATGTTCCGTGTAACTGTTTACGCATGTCGTGGTTACCTATAAGTACGTTTTGTTAAGTTACTGTATATCATGTTGGTGATCCTAAATAAATAAATATTTGCTTCTACCCCGATGAACAAGCGAAAAGGAGAAACTCCCGTCGATTTTTGTACATTAGTATAAGTAATAGATTGCTGTACCTTCCATACTTCGTTCGGCCACTCTGATAACTCATTACACATAGTATTCAACATATTAATTACTGTAGATACATAACGTTCAACCTGCCCATTGCTAATTCTAGGTGTACCATTAGCTATCAGGTGATGTTCGATATATAACTCACGAAAAGGGGCTTGAATTTTATTAGAGCTAAAATTTATTCAACGATCAGTGACAACTAATGAAGGTGTAACAAATATCGTAATAGTTTTCCTTATAATAGGTATTAACGTTTGAGCATTTAGTGTTTTAAGAGGTTTCAATAAACAAAATGTGGTGAACCAGTCTACCAATAATAGAACATGGTTGTACCCTTCCTTGGTTGCTTAAAGGGGGCCAGTGCAATCTAAATGTATTGTATGAAAGAGAATAGTAGTATTATCAATCGGATGTAGTAGTCCTTGTTGAATTTATTTTAGTTTGATTAGGACCAGAACATCCTTTTTTTCTCTGGGCAAACTTGAAAGAATGAAAAATGTATATTTCAATAAAAAACTGTCATACCAGTAAGGAAACGAGAAATACTGCCCTCTTTTTTTTTAAATTTTATTTCAAGGTCCCCAATCTTAACAAATCTAGTGTCTTGTAAAACCGAAGGATATTTATGAAAAAATGGCTTTAATCCTATCCCAAAATTCTATATCTAAATTGCCATTGAAAATTGTAGTAAATTTATTTTATAACTAGATTTAGGTATATTTTTTCGTACCAAACGAGAACCTAAACAATCAGTGATGATATCGATATCAGGATTAAACAGAACAGCCTCCTAACAATTAAAATATAGTAACAAGAATCGATATCTGCGACCATATACATATTCAATTCAATACATAAATCCTCAAATCAAACTGTTGATGTTATTTGTGTAGATACTTTTAGACTACCCTCACCTATTCCAGAAATACATAAATAGCATGGGCTAAAATTGCTACCAAGACAAACACACACACACACTTACACACACACACACTCTTTAATTATACTGCAATTAACTCTAGTATCAATAAGCGAATTTATAGTTATATCGAAAATACTTTTGTTAAAATTAATTCCAATTTAAAAAAAAAAATTACCTCATTTCCAATTTTAGTAGTATAATTATCATTTTTAGGTTTATACTCGTATTTATACATAGAATCCTTATAATGACATTTTTTTTACAAAATCTAACGGTTTATGTTCCTATGTATCGACGTTAGTTTGAGCGTCCAGTTTTAAGCATTGGGGTCTTTTATATCCTAATTAGTCACATGAATAACATTTTATATAGTTTGATCTAGTATTTATTTAAGTTCGTTTAGCAAGGTTAGAATTAGAAAAATTCTTACAATCCCTACCGCTTTGCTCTAAAGGTAGTTTCTTTGTTTTTGCATATGAAGTGAACAAACAAATTAGTTTAAATGTACATAGTTTTGAAACTACAGTTAAATGATGCCATTCTTACATTAACGTCAAATATACTACCACATACTAATTTAACTACATAATTGCAATTCTTAACTATATTTGTATTACTTAATACTTTAATATATTTTTTTCTTTGCGTATTAGCAATAGGAATCTGTACTTTCGGAAGTATACAAGACTTTTTTTGATCGGGACACAAAGCTGTAAATTCTTTACGTAGATTCTCCCACAAACGGCCGGCTGCAGTATCCCAAGTTTCAAACCACAGTAACGCAGACCCTTTTAGGGCCTTACCTTCTTTAGCAACGGTGCGATACTGCTCCAGCCAAAATCCCCCACGAGGAAGTCGATGTTGCTGCACCAGGACTCGGCACCCAGGTCACTCGTGGCCGGGTAGAAAATCAGCAAAGCAACGTCGTCGTCTTTCCGCAGAGCTCCGGAAACAGCATCCTTGATTGCCTTGAGAAGTTCTTGCAAAGCCGAGAGATCCATCTGCAATTATAATACATATTAGAACAATGGACACTATCCCACTTCTGATAATAGATTCTTTAAAAATATAGAGATAACAAAAGCTTCAAACTACCCAATATTACATTAATATTAAGAGGAAACAATTATAATTATCATTTTTATATATATGGAGGTAGGTAAATAAGACAAAGGAAACTGTAACAATTAATTTATATTACTGTAGTTATTATCATCACAAAATATCACAAAATAGTTTAGAATAACCAAAGAAAATATATCAGCAAAAATACTATAAATAGAAACCTTATGCTTTAAACAATTATCAAAGCTACTTATCTTTGTCCTGATCAACTGCTCGCCAAAGAAAAAGTGATTCGCTAACGAACACAGGGTATTTATAACATCGTATCGAGCCGTTATGTCAAATCATAAACTTTTTAAAGATTTCAAATAAAATGTTGCCAATAAAAAAACTATTTATAAGTATAGTAAAATTAAAAATGATAATAAAAAAGATTATTATATAGAAAAATACTGTAAAATCAATAATAATCTATCACATTCGTTATTTAAACTATTTAATTAATTTAAATTTTAAAGTTAAAATGCTTACTATTTTTTTTTATTCCAGACAATGCTAGCTACGATTACGTAGTAGTGGGCGCCGGCACGGCGGGCTGCATCGTGGCCAATCGTCTGTCCCAACAAAAGGACGTCGAAGTGCTTGCGATTGAGGCGGGGGGAGATCCTCCCGAAGAGAAAGATGTAGGTCAATGTAAGATCAAATCATTATTACTAATTTATTTCAATAAAATAATAACTGGGTATTTATTTCTCCTCAGATTCTCAGTTTGTTCGTCACAGAAGTTCATCCACATGTGTACTGGAACTACGAAACAGAAGACGATGGCTATACAGCTCAGTATCACAAAGATAAACATTTGAATTTAAGATCAGGAAAAATGCTTGGTGGCAGCAGTGGAATTAACTATTTATATTACAGTAGAGGTGCCCCTAGAGATTACGAAGCATGGGTGAACGCTACTGGAGATGAGTCATGGTCTTGGCAAAATGTTCTTCCATATTTTAAAAAAAGTGAACACCTTAAAGACGAAGAAATTTTAAACTCTAAATTAGGACGTTTTCACGGTAATAACGGAGAAATGATTGTAACAAGGGATCTACGTAATATTACCCTCAAATATTTGGAAGCTTTCCAAGAACTTGGACATAAAGTAGTGGATGATATAAATGGTGAGCAAGCTATAGGATTCGCGCAGCCTATGTTTTGGTTATCAAATGGATTGCGTCATACAACCGCCGAGGGATTTTTATTGCCTATAAAGAACCGACCAAATTTTCATGTAATGAAAAACACTTTAGTTACCAAAATTCTTTTTGATGAAAATAAAAATGCAGTCGGTGTTCAAACTAAAAATGTAGATGGATCAACTGTAAATATATATGCGAGGAAAGAAATAATTATATCGGCAGGTGCTTTTAACACTCCAAAACTTTTGATGCTGTCGGGTGTCGGACCACAAGCCCACCTTGAAAGTTTCGACATTCCAGTGATCTCTAATTTACCTGTAGGAGAGTATTTAAGAGATCATATGGCTACTGTTTTGGTTATGAAAGGGAAAACTACTGATGAAACATTTGAACGTGGAATAGCTCATTTCCCAATACCAACTTTTGTTGGACTGGGAGCTATAGATAAGTCTCAAGACTATCCAGACTATCAGAGCCATAATTTAATTTTCAAAAATCATCCCGCAGGTCTGACAGTTCTTTGCTCCTCGGTTTTTCATTTGAACCCGTCGATTTGTGAAGAACTTTTTTCTGCTGGTGTGGGTAGGGAAGTTCTGTTTTCGGTATTTGGCGCAAGTCATCTTTTGTCTCACGGAAGTGTTCAACTTCGCAGTACAAATCCTGAGGATCCTCTTAAAATTAACACTGGTTTCTTATCTAACCCCAGTGACCTAGATCATTATGCTAAATGTATCCAAGACTTTGCTGCTGTAATCAACTCAAGTTATTTTAAAGAAGTGGAGGGGGAGATATTACACTTCAATATACCGAGTTGTAAACATTTAGAAAAAGATACTCTAGAGTACTGGAAGTGTTATACCCTCAATATGATGGACAGCTACTTCCTTTCTTCCTGCACATGTCCTATGGGTCCAGTTTTGGATTCTAGGTTACGTGTTCGAGGTGTAAAAAAGTTAAGGGTCGCCGATGCAAGTGCTATGCCAGAGCTTATTACAAGTAGTATTGGTTCTGCAGTCATGATGATAGCAGAAAAAGCAGCTGATTATATAAAAGAGGATATTTAAATTATACTATCGAACATACTATGCCATAAATCATAACTAATTTTATTTATAATGAATAGAAATGAAATAAACTTTATTCAATTAGACTTATTACAAGCACTTTTTAATTGTCAATTTAACTAAAGCGTCAGTGTAGTCAGTCCGTGAGGAAGCTACTACCGGTTCGGAAAGCAGTTCTAATGACAACTTACATTTATTTTACTAACATAACTATATAGATAGTCCGCATATAAGTCAATATGTATTTCTCAATTCCACACATATCCATCGACAAGAAACACTTGAACAATGTAATACGTGTTACTCAATAAAATATTTTAAATTTTATCTTTATTTATTTTTTCTTTTTAAACTTATTTCTATTCCTAGTGTTTATTGTGGGTTCATCACTGTTTTTTACATAATTATTTAAATTTTTGCGAATAAGTAATATATTACACAGTAGGTATTTGTATATATTGTGAAATGTCTCGCAGGGAATCACGATCTTTTAGATCATAAATAGCCCGAACTGTTCTTTTTTGAAGAATAAATATCGAATGAATATGCGAGGTAAGTTGCTCTAAGGAAGTATTCCGTAAAATAAAATACTATGAAAATAGTTAAAATATACAAGGGTTGAGGTATAATAAAGTTTATAAGGGCAAAGAGTTATTTATGATCAGAATTATTTGAAACTTAATTATTTAAGACTCTTCAATATAATTAATTAAATACATGTTTTAGCATTTTTCGAAATTCAATCCCAAAGTTTTTATGAAAGTCTATAATTAATTATTATGTAAAAAAGTGCAAAAAAATCATGTGTAGACGATTTAAGAGTTTTAAAATCACTTTCTGTTGGGAACAAATTTGTCTTTTGGGAAAAAATGATATCCATTTTCTTTTCGGCCTCTGTATCGATAATAATGTTTATTTACATAAGATTTTTCAAAAAATATTTAATGTACAGATTCAGCTTAGTTACAATTTTATTATAGGTATGTATAAATAACATGAAACCAAGGTGTTTTTTTTGTTTGAACGCGGGCGAAGCCGCGGGTTTTACTAGTATTAATATGTACTTCAGTAACAAATCGATACATGTAACATCTATTGACTTATAATTAAATTAATTTTCCTTTGTTCCTGATAAGACTCCAAGGGTATGGGTAAGTATGCTTTAACAAACTGAACTATAATATGAAATTCGAACTTTGTATCCAAAAAAATGTAGCCAGCATACCTACCTGTTAACATTCATAATTCTCCCTGCGAGGTTCTTATGTGGAATAAAAAATTAAAATCACACTAAAACTTCTAGAATCTTTTACGTTGTTTAAATTTAAGCTTTATTCTTTTGTATAAATTTAAATTTAATTAAATATTTTAAAATCAGTAGATATAAAAGCTTGTAATAAAAAAAAAACAAGGTACCTATTGTAAAAAATTAAACTTAGTTGTACATATATTGCAATCGTATATGGTAAATGCTTATCAGATATGTATATTATCTTTTGATAAATGTAATTTTCGCAACTAATATTTGTCTGTGGCTTTATTTATAAGTCGGTATTACAAATTAATTTTTTAGCTAATATATATTAGTATTATATATATATATATATATATATATATATATATATAATATATATATATATATATATATATATATATATATATATATATATATATATATATATATATATATATATTAGTAAATTAAAGCATCACATTGTAGAAAAAAAATATTTTCGCCGTTTTTCAAAAAAAAGTTTTTACCGTACAAAACATCAAAATTTTAGCATATTTTACGTAAAATCAACATACCATCACATGTAAGTGGATGCGTGTATGAACCGGCGGACATTGTTAAAAATTGTGGTTTCGTAAGAAAAATATCTTTATCTATACTTATAATAAACTAGCATTGCCCGCGGCTCCGCCCGCCTTCAGATGGCCAAAAACCAAATTCTTAGGTTGCTCATATTAGTATACTCTTAAATTGCAGTTTTTGTATTTTTTTCTCAGAAATGAGATATTTTCCCACGATAAAAAGTATCCTATATGTTGACCCGGATAACCAGCTATCATTATACCAGCATTTATCAAAATCCCTCCAGTGGTTTTTCCGTGATCCGGTAACAGACAGACAGACGGACGGACGGACGGACGGACAGACAGACAGACAGACAGACAAAAATTCTAAAAACAATAGATTCGGCTTCTGTATCGATAATAAAGTCTATTTCAATAAGATTTCCTAAAAAATATTTAATGTACAGATTCGGCTTAGTTTCAATTTTATTATATACTAGCAATGCCCGCGGCTCCGCCCGCGTTCAGAAGACCAAAAACCAAATTCTTAGGTATGATGCATTAGTATACTCTTACATTGCAGTTTTTGTATTTTCTCAGAAATGAGATATTTTCCCGCTGTAAAAAGTATCCTATATGTTGACCCGGATAACCAGCTATCATCATACCAAATTTCATCAAAATCTGTCCAGTAGTTTTCTCGTGATGCAGTAACAGACAGACAGACAAAAATTCTAAAAACTATATATTCGGACTCTGTATCGATAATAATGTCTATTTCAATTAGATTTTCCAAAAAAATATTTAATGTACAGATTGGCTTTAGTTACAATATTATTATATGTATACATATATAAATATATTACATACATGTCATGTAAAATTAGGTACTAAACGGAATATTACTAAATTTTGTATAGTGATTGATAACTTGTTGTTCAGATCAACATTTAGGATATCTTTTACTACAGGAAAAGCTCTCATTCCCACGGGAAAACACAATAACTAGTCTTTAAATTTTAAATATATAATAGAAAGGAATCAAGGAGTGATTAAATTGCTTTTTTGGGTTGAATAATGAAGGAATTTTTGTAGCAAAGTCTACTATCTAGTCTATTACGACGTAACGTAAGCTAACATACAGACATACCTACTAATAATGTTGATTTGGTAATTTACATATTATTTTAGTATAATATTAATCTGCAAAAAAAACCTTGTAGGTTACATCAGTATAATAATATTAAGGTATTTAAAGTTGAAGAATTGTTATCGCCTGGTTCAGTATTACTTTGAAATTTGGGTTAGTAGGTTCAAATTTTGAACTAAATCAAAAATTTGAGTGCAATTATATAAAAAGCTTGTAAGTATTTTCTATTTATTAATTGTATAACGTGTTCTTTAATTCTTTATAATAATAGCATTGATTGTAACAGCAATGGATCCTGTTATACGATGGCTAATTCATGGCGTACTACTCACAGTATGGGCACTTAATGTCGGCGCTAGTAAATGGCCCGAACATATAGATGTTAAAGGTAATAATTAAAAATTGATATTGCTTGTAAATAGTAATGTATTAAGAAATAATATATCTAATTAGGTGGTACATTTAAACTTTTTTTTAAGATCAATTATCGCCCTGGAGAGTGCCGTCTTAGCACTGAATGTACCGTGTCGGTTTAAACCGTCCTTTACATCTCTACGGCCTAGAGGATTATAGTACCTGAGGTTCCACACACATCTGTAGACTTTTAGTAATATCAATAATATCGAATAATAAAATAATTACTTCCAAGCGGGTATATATATAAAATGTACGGCAAAAAAGTCTTTGTTAAATGATTTGTAGTTTCATCACAGCCTTATTTTATATTATCAATATAGGTACATTTCATCAATCGAACAAAAATTTATATGTTTTTATTATTATATTATATTTATTATATGTATTTCGAAGATTAAATTCCCCTAGTTTCATAAAAATCAAAAGATTATTCTAGAAATTAAAAATAAAAAAAAACAAGAAAAAATTAAAAAGTGCGTTTTTTGAAAAAATCTCGGAAACTTTAAGGTTATTGTAAAAAGTGTTATGTATAAAAGTTGTGGATTTTTACTAGACCTATGCCTTTTGTATAATACATTTTTCGATAGAACGTCACAGTAAGCCGGAAATTGAAAAAAAAAATTTTTTTTCAACGCTTTGCGTCCCCCCATTTCTCGAGGGTAGCTAGGTACGGGAGCATTTTACGAAATTCTATGCTTTACATAACTTCCGATTTAAATTTTTTTTCTCTTAAAAATAAACGAATTCCGATTGCACTATATATAAAGTTTCATTAATCTACGTCGAAGTACACAAAACCCACATATGACAAGAAGGAGTAATTTTACAGAAATATATAATATTGCTAACAATTTTAATCTAACACAACGTGAACAATATCATATATTTATTTCTTATTTTATGTACTAGATAAGGCTAGCTACGATTACATCGTCGTGGGAGCCGGCTCAGCGGGCTGCATCGTGGCCAATCGTCTCTCCGAGCAAAAAGACGTCGAGGTTCTTGCTATTGAAGCGGGCGGTGATCCCCCTGAAGATGCTGATGTATGTCGTATAATTTTCATGTACTCTTTTAAGTTAACTTAAAAAATTATATTAACGTAAAATAATTGTCTATATTTCAGCTTTTAAGCGTATTTACAAATACACATCCCATGTATTGGACTTACGAAACAGAAAAGGATGATAAAGTTGCGCAGTATTATAAAGAAAAACATTATATTTTGAAATCAGGAAAGGTGATTGGTGGCAGCAGCACAATTAATTATCTAGTTAATGTTCGAGGAGTCCCCAGGGACTATGAAGTTTTGGTGAACGCTACTGGAGATGATTCATGGTCTTGGAAAAACATTCTTCCATATTTCATAAAAAGCGAAAATCTCCAAGATGATGAAATACTAAATTCTCGAAATGGACGTTTCCACGGAAAAAATGGAGAAATGATTGTGACGATAGATCGTCGTAACATAACTCACAAGTATTTTGAAGCTTTCCAAGAACTTGGACATAACGTAGTCGATGATATAAACGGTGAACAATCAGTAGCATTTGCACCTAACATGATGTGGGTATCGAAAGGAAAGCGTCAAGACACGGCTGAAGCATTTTTGCTACCAATAAAGAAGCGTCCAAATTTTAATATAATGAAAACCACTTTAGTAATTAAGATTATTTTCGATGAAAATAAAAATGCAGTCGGCATACAGTGTATAAAACCTGACGGATCAGTTATAGATATATATGCGAGGAAAGAGATCATTATATCGGCAGGAGTTTATAACACTCCAAAACTTTTAATGTTGTCTGGTGTGGGCCCTCGAGATCACCTTGAAAGCTTGGATATTCCAGTGGTCGCTAATTTGCCTGTAGGAAAGACTTTACGAGACCATTTGACTGTTATGGTGACAATGAAAGGAGAAGCGGCTACTGAGACATTTATACGTGATAAATCTAGATTCCCAGTACCAACATTCATTGGACTAGGAGCTATAAACAAATCTCAAGACTACCAAGACTACCATAGCCATAATTTAATTTTCAGAAACCATCCAATAGGTTTGCAAATTCTTTGTTCTTCTGTTTTCAATTTCAAACAGTCTATATGTGATGAACTGGCTTCGGCTGGCGTGGGAAGAGAAATTGTATTCAGTGTGTTTGCAGCGAATCACCTTTTGTCTCATGGTAAGATAGAACTTCGAAGTAAGAACCCTGAGGATCCTGTGAAAATATACACAGGATTTTTGTCTAATCAGAGTGACTTGGACCACTATGTTAAATGTATTCAAGATTTTACCAATGTGGTTAACTCTAGCTACTTTAAAAAAGTTGGAGGGGAGGTATTACACTTTACTTTGCCAAATTGTGAACACCTAGAAAAAAATAGCGCGGAATATTGGAAGTGTTACATTCTTGATTTGATGAATACACATTATCTTCCTTGTTGCACAGCTCCTATGGGAACTGTTTTGGATTCTAAACTGCGAGTTCGTGGCGTAAATAGGCTGCGAGTTGTAGACGCCAGTGTTTTGCCTAATTTAATAGGAGGAAGTATTGGAGCTACTGTTCTAATGATTGCCGAAAAAGCTTCTGATTTAATAAAACAAGATATGTATATAGACAGAAATAATACTGAAAATTATAATACCTTTACTTAATTAACATTTAATGAATTCAAATATATAAAATTCTCTAAATTATGCAGCTAATTAATTTATTTATCTTTATCTTTTCGTTTACAAGTACGTGGTGATACTTTAGGACAAAAGAAAATTGGACAAGTGCGAATGTAACTCGCGCACCGAGAGTTCCAATCAACAATTCTCCTTATGTTTTAATTTAAAATATCAAATAAAATATTTATGATTTAATTTTTTAATATAACATTTATTTTATCGACATCAAAATCAAGCGTTATTCATGATAATTATCGAATTTAGCGGCTATTGTTTTATAAACGAAAATATCCCATTTGAAAACCTGCTCAGTGTAATTTTGCTTATTAAAACTGTTTTTAAAGAAATATTACGTAGTTTTTTTTTAATTTTCTTTCATCTATTTTAAAAGGAAGGAAGAGAAGTGTGTAATTCAGCAACTATTGATTTAAATAAAAAAAGTTTAGAAAATAGTCTGTCTTAATTTTAAAGACCTTGCCAAATACACCTTCCCACGGGATTCTGTACAGTCCTATTTTTTTTTTCGTTAACAGATTTCAGCATTTTTTAGCAGATCACATGAGACGTCTTTAGGGCGCGCGATTATTCTGCCATTTGGTTTAAAGTATTAATAACAAATTAAGTTCATCAATATTTTGTGATTTTAAAGTTGTGGTACTATGTGTGTGTTGGTACTATGAATGAATAAATGCAATAGAAATTAAAACTGAGTATTTTTTTATCCACGCGAGCATAGCCGCGGGCTATGACAAAATAAGAATGACAATTTATATATTATGTAATTTAAAAAATGGAGGAGAAGGAGTAAGATTGTAAATTTCTGGTGTTACATTGAGTCTTAAAAAATCTATAAGTATATAATTATGTATGTTAGTTAAAAACCCATAATATAAGCCAAGTTACATGATTTTAAAGTCGTAAACGTTGTATTCGAGTTGTATCATTGTACCCCTTCCTCTAACTTTGACAAAATGGAATAGAAAAACATGCAAAAAATCGAGATAGTGGGGCTTCTTAAATGCTTCAAACTAAAATTAATTTACAGAATATACTCGTACACTTGCAGTACGTTACGTAATATTTAAAGTTGTACCTTTTAAGTTAAAGCAAAAATTAAAACAAGATGGCGGATCCTAGGGTTTAGAGTTTAGACAGTCAATACATTAAATCTGAAATCTAAGTATTTAATTAAAACGACGGACTTTGTCAACTCCGAATGGTGATTCAAGCATGAATTTCTCACCCAAGTATTTTATTGTTAGAATTTAAAGGCTATAACTTTAACTTTATTATAATGTGTTTTCCCGTGGGAATGAGATAATCTACCGCGGTAACAAATAGCCTATGTCACTCTCCACCCCTTCAACTATCTCTAAACAAAAAATCATGCCAATCCGTCACTCCGTTTCGACGTGAAAGAAGGACAAACAAACAAACACACTATCACATTTATAATATTAGCATGGATTTCTCATAGAAATACTGAGAAAAACGAAACAAGTTATACTACCTATAAAAGGAGATTGTAGATAGGTAAATAATATGATAATATCTTACTTTTGTAGTAGCTAATTACAAAATATGTATTTTGCATTAAAATATACCATAAATTAAATTTTTCATGCTTCAAAACTCTTTATGTGCGATGCAGAATTCGTACTCTCGCATTTATTCGATTTTTTAATATCATTTTAATTTATATTGTTTTCATGTAATCTTTATTTAATTATTTTTAATATCTAATTTGTTCAAGAAATTACATTATTATTTATTATTATTTTTTTAAATTGTTACTTTTTATTGTTAAAATATTATATTAATTGTGTTTATTTGTGTTTAACCGTTCATGAATTATAATCGATAGTTTTTAGTGCATCCCATCACTGTGCGTCAAAACATTATCAGTTCAATATTTTAGACTACATAACATGTTTAAATGTTTAGTTTTTTGAATGAACACTGTAAAGTGTTACGTTTTCATATATCTGATAAAGATAATGCTTAGCTTGTTCTTTTATTTTATAATTTAAATTAAAATATTCAAAAAATGTTAATTACAAGGCGATACGAGCGTCTACAACTACAACCTCAATTTTCCTCTCTTATAAGAAATCCTTCCTTAATGTTGAATGTTAATTACCGACAGTGATTAATTTTCAAGATTAGATTCAAATCGATTTAGATTAAGAAGAGATTCAAAAAGATAAAAATAATTTAAAGTTCTTTTTGTATCAATAATATAATAAATAATCTTGTTTCCTCGTTTTTTGGCGTGTTTGTTTGGCGTACTAGTTTTATGGGGCCGCCACCGTAGCCAAATGGCTAAAATGTTCACCTGTCGGTTTGTCTGTGTCACAGGCCACAACCTTTGTATTCAAAGGCTATAGGTATCTAATTCATGCATAGGTCTTTAAAAATCAGATAGATGTATTTAGATGACTTTTTTATTCAAGACAATTGTTACAGAGTTTTGTTTTAACAATGTTATGTTAAAACAAAACATAAATTTAACATTTCATGCTAGGGGACCCTCGGTATGCAAGTCAGACTCGCACTCGTAAGATTTTGTTCTTTTTTCATATTACGTCAATTGAAATTGCTATTCAAAGTTTTTATAAGAGTTAACTGTTTAAATTCTCTTTTTTTATTTAAATTAGCAAAATAAACTCATTTTTACAATATTATATATATATATATATATATATATATATATATATATATATATATATATATAATATATATATATACTATATACGTTATACCAGTGACTTTACCTCGCTTCGCTCTGGTGCTTTCCTAGGTACGTATATACATCGTAACTGCCTCGGTGGTGTAGTGGCTATCATGTACGGCTGCACACCCGGAGGTCCTGGGTTCGAGTCCCGGGTCGGGCCAAGTTTAGTTATTGAGTCTTTCTGTATAGTAAGCCTCAGTAACAGCCCGGAGTTGGGAAGTTGGCGGTGTTTCACCCCCGTGCCTCGGAGAGCACCTAAAGCCGTCGGTCCTGCGCCTTAACTCTCACTGGTCGTGTCGAGTAGTCGTCCCACCGGAGTATGAGAGTGACAGGAATAGAGAGTGCACTTGTGTCTGCGCGTACACTTGTGCACTATAATATCTCCTGCGCAGTTGGCTAGTCTCAATGAGATTGGCCGCCGTGGCCGGAATCGGTCAGGAGAACATCATCAATCAATCAATATACATCGTGCATATAGCGTTAGTACAGATAATACTCGTATATCTTTTTAAGACGAATAATTCCGCATAATTTGTAACCGACTTCAAAAAGGAGGAAGTTCTCAATTCGACTAAATGTTTTTTTTGTATGTTTGTTATGCGATTATTCCGCCATTTATTAATTAATTTTTATGATTCTTTTTTGTTTGGTAGGTTGTACTTAAGAGGTGGTGGTATAAGTGATCGAAATTGATTCAGCACATTTTTTTTCAAAATTATGTAACAAAAACAAAAAAATGTATACTCAGATGACTTTTTGGTTTGCGGTTCCCTTCAGCAAAGTTTTGATGAGGACTTTCAATCTGTTTTAACTGTCATCACAGAAACATTAGTCGAGAACAAAGAAGATTGTATGTACTTGTAAAGAGCCGTCATGATAATTATACTTAAATAAAATTTAAACTTTAACTATGTATAGATACTTAAATAAAACTACCTAGTTGTTGTAAAGATTACGCAACCGTGTCATTTCTGTTAAAGCTTTAATTAAAATACTTTCTGTTTACTTTGCTACTACTATCAGCGCTGGATTTACACTAGGGGCGTTCGGGGATAGTGCCCAGGGCGGCAAAATTCGGAGGGTGGGAAAAAAATGTCTTCGCGTTATCGAAAATGCTTTTTTATTTTCCAAAAAACATACATAATTAAAAAAAATAACTACCTACGCCTATTTTTCGAAAAATGAAATCATTTATAGTTTTTTTTTTCAAAAAAAATATAATAAAAAAATAAACTTTATCGAAACTTTACCAATTTTATGCAAAATTTTGATAATTGGGCGGCATTTTTTACTATGACCAGGGGTGGCGCTAAATATATAATTACGTTTCTTTTGAACTGACATATGTATGTATATTTTGGTATAAATTTTACTTAATAATATTAATGTCGTAAGGATATATTTACAGCTAATTCTGAACGTTTTTAACAGTTTTTAAGATTTTGAAAAGGATTTTTTTTGTAGAAAGACAATACTTTCAAATTCCGAGGCCGCTATAAACTCAACCACTTTATATACAAGATATCATTATATATTTTTCATTTCGTTTGCTTTACTGTAGTATTTGAATCCATGAGCTTGAAAAAGTGCCCTCGCGCATTTTATTAAATATTTGCTTTTGAATTTTGGCTTTAACTCAAGTATAATGAAAATTTGCGAAAAGCGACACTGTTGTGAACTATATTAATAACTATTCTCCACCATACAATAAGTCAAAATTGTCGAAGAGTTTCAGTTTCTCTGAATAAGTACGTCAAAGATGGGCATTAAATTGAAAAATAACGGTCATAAAAACAAAAAACGGCCTCTTAAGTGTTTTTGTGTTTCGAAGTCTGTTTTAAATTATTTTTTTTTAAATTTTATTTCAGACATCTTCAACAATTATTGTTATATTTGAGCCAATTTACACAAAACCATAATGAATTACACACCTAAACCTTCCTTATGAATCACTCTGTCTATTGGTGAAACCATGTAAAAATCCGTTCGGCAATTTTTGAGTTTATCGCGTTCAGAGTTCAGACAGACGCGGCGAAGAGACTTAATTTATAACTAGCGAAGAGACTTAATTTATAACTAGCGACTCAATATCGCTTCGCACGGGTTCGTCCCTAGGTATGTTTTAATGGTAAATATGAAATACAATTCTTTGAATTTCTCGGCTTTTCTGTACTTATAATATGCATGTATTACATACATTACATATAAACTTTCCTCTTGAATCACTCTATCTATTGCTTAAAACTGCATTAAAATCCGTTGAGTAGTTTAAAAGATTTAAGCGAACAGACAGCGAAAGCGACTTCATTTTATACTATGTAAAGATACTACAGTAGAACCTCTTTAAGTCGAATCTCGATTAGTCGAAAATCTCCCAAATTCGAAAAAATTGTGTTCCCTTCCCTTCAAGCCCCAAAACCTCCATTGTTCGAAATCTGACGCCTCTATAAATCGAAATAATTTGTGAGTCCCTACAAGTAAATTCAGTACATATTTACCCTCTATAATTTGAAAAAATAAATTTGACCACTGCATCTCGAACATAGCAATGTTTGATTTTACAACCTTTACAACTCGATTATTTGAAATTAATTACAGCTCGAAGAAAAATAAGATACCGACTTTAAGAATATGATGACAATGTGCATGATTGTTTCTTAGTTTTTTTCTATTTAGTTGGAATAAATCTTACAAAATTCGCTTGAGTCGACGAAGTCCTCCATAGGTCGAAAACTCTATAACTCGAATTTTTTGGCGTCTCCCTTCAAGTTCGACTTACAGAGGTTCTACTGTATTTAGTGATAAGTACCGGAAAAAGTGTTCGTAAGTACCGGAAAGTGCAAATAATTTGTATATGTACATAAGGTAGAGAAATTAATTATGGTAATGAATAAAACAAATGAATATGTTTTTAAACAAACCAAAATAATCTTAAACTATTAAAGTTTTAACAACCGAATATAATAATAATATAATTAATAATCTTCAAAATATTATGACCATGTTTCATAGACGAATATTAACTTTTGTACATTATCTAGAATTTGATAGCTATCAAGGAAATCTAAATCAAAATTATAGCTAAAGCGGAACCCTCTGTCCGTCTGTCGCAGCAATAAAAAGAGAATTGTCACTATAGTAAAATACTATAGGATAATTCTTTTTTTTGATGATAATATAAAAGCTAGTCAATAGCTACTAAACAAAAGAACATATGTTGAAAACAGAGAAAAAAAAGATACTGAATTGTTTTGTCTTTACCTATCTATAAAAAAACTGTTTCCAAAAATTGTTCATAGTTTGTACTAAAGCTCATAAATAGCTAATAAGCAAACTAACTGCCTCGGTGGTGTAGTGGCTAGCATGTACTTCTGCACACCCGGAGGTCCTGGTTTCGAGTCCTGGGTCGGGCCAAGTTTAGTTATTGAGTCTTTCTGTATATTAAGCCTCAGTAACAGCCCGGAGTTGGGAAGTTGGCGGTGTTTCACCCCCGTGCCTCGGAGAGCAAGTAAAGACGTCAGTCCTGCGCCTTAACTCTCACTGGTCGTGACGAATGGTCGTGCCAGCGGAGTATGAGAGTGACAGGAATAGAGAGTGCACGTTGTGTCTACGCGTACACTTGTGCACTATAATGTCTCCCGCGCAGTTGGCTAGTCTTAATGAGATTGGCCGCCGTGGCCGCAATCGGTCAGGAGAACATCATCAATAAGCAAAAATAAACTGTTTACTTGGTCTGTTTTATTAACTGTTTACTTGGTCTGCTTTTTCCCAATACATATTTAAAGCCACATATTATACATATTTAATTAGTTACATGTATAACATGTTTTAAAGGTAATACAGCCAACAAATAGATCAGTCAACCTTTAAAACACGTTTCTTTTTTATAGAAATCCTTACGATACTCTTATACCAGTATATATTACATAGTCAATGTAATAAAATTACCATTATAGTATGTTCATTCGCATGTACAACACAATGTACACAATTTTTATTAATAAAATTTAATTTTTAAATTATTTGCATGTATATTATTTATTATATATAATATTGGGTAAGTTGTTTATTTATTTTCTTTTATTTATCTATATTTAAATTAGAATTTAATAGTCCAAACTCCATACTTATGTAAACATTTATGTAGTAGTAGACTTTCTTATGTTATATATTATTATTACATATATCCAGTATTGGATCCTATTAATAAATATAATTTAATTAAGAAGGCACCATAAATTTTGGCTCAGTTTGTAGTAACTAGTAACACTACACGCTGTGACAGCGGTCGTGGTTTCGAGTCCCGCTGGGGGGCATTAATTAGTGTAATGAGCACGACTGGTTGTACTCCAGCCACGGATGTTTATATTTATAATATGTATGTATTTAAAAGTTATATATGTGTAGTGTATCAACTATCCGGTATCCATAACACAAGTCTCGTAGCTTATCATGGAACTAGATTGTGTTGTGTGTTAATATCTCAACATATTTATTTATATTTAAATAATACATAATAAAAATAAATGATTCAAGAAAACAGTTGTATCTTTAGATGTTCTGATTGAACTAAAACATGTTTACTTTACGTTTTTAAATTTACGCTTTTAATTAAGACCATATTGTATAGAAACAGATTCGAATAATAATGCGCGGTAAACAATCAAAATTCTATAAAATTAATTTCTTTTTTTTATGTATTATATATAACAATAATTAATAACGTATTTCAAATAACTATGACTCAAAAGGTATAAGTGCTGCGCATTTTTTTTAATGTTAATTATATTTTATTATTCATTACAGGTGACAAACAACTAAAGATGAAAAGAGTAATTTTGTTTGTGCTATGTAGCTTTTGTGTTACCGCCAGTAAGTGGCCAGCTCACACTGACGTCCAAGGTACCTACTAATTAATTATTATTTTCAATTTTACTATTTTTATTACTCTAAATTCTAACTTACATTTTACTACTTACATTACAACATATTTCACTATTAAATAGCTCTAAAATTATGTTAATATTTTATGTTAATTTTGCATATATTCCAAAATAAAAAAAAACTCATTAATATTTTTTTTGTATTTTAAGGTAGCAATAGTATTGCTTAATATTTTAACTTTAAATAACAGCAATCTAAATTAATATTTTAACTTCTTTTAAATTACATATAAAACAATAATATTGCTTAAATAAATAATTCATATTTTTTAATTTTTAATATTCTTTATGGTTATACATATAGCAACACTAAATAATATTAGTAATTAATAAAGTTTAAAAAAAAGTAATAATTATAATAATAACAGCTAAAATTAAATAAATAATATTGCTATATTTAATTATAATAATTATATATTTTTTTAAATGTTTAGAAATAAAAATCAACAAATATTGTAAGTTACTTTGGTGCCATTTTTTGAATTTTTGAAATCATTTTTGTAAAATAGTGGGTGGGCACTGTCTGTAACAAGTGTATATCGCTTTTGAGACGTCTATAACCTTAACTCTCCCGTAACCATGATTGCTGTAAAGCATTCGAAACGTCGGGAACCAAAAATCAAAATAAATCCGCGAAATAATTCGAAAAGATAGTTTTATTAGGGTTCCGTAGTCAACAATGAACCCGTACAGTTTCGCCATGTCCGTCCGTCTATTCGCAGCTTAGCTGAGTGACTCTTAGTACTAGAAAGCTATAATTTGGCAAGGATATACCTACATATTAGTCACACCGACAAAGTGGTAAAATAAAATCTTGAAAAAAAAAAACATTTTTTTAGGGTGCCTCCTCTACACGTACAGTGAGGATGTTTTTTCTCTCAGCTATTCCATAGTGTGGGGTGTCGTTGGATGGATAGGTCTTTCAAAAATATTTTGGGTTTATGGAAACAATATTTCGTTTAAGGGATTCATTTGTGAAATATTAAGCTTTTATGTGCTAATTTTTGTTAGAGTCAAGTGTCCTCCCCTCCTTCCAGCTAAATGTTGTTAGTTGTGTAAACAGGTAGTAAATATATGTTTAAAAACCATATAAAATATACAAAAATAAAATCATAACATCATATGCTTTGAAACAACAAAAGGCCCTCTTCTTAGTCCGCATTATTTGTTGGGCAACTACGGAACCGGGCAAATGTATGGCCCGACACACACTTGGTTATTTTTTTTCTTTAAATTTTAAACCCTAAAGTTAAAACCGAGCCGAGCTTTGATATCATTTACATTGTAATGACATCAAATGTACATATAGATGTATGTATGTGTGGCGAAACACCAATATAGTTTTTATATGTTGTTTCGTTTCGCCCGTCTAAAAACTAAGAAAAAGTTAAGTTGACATTTGTCATGTAAAATTAGATATTACTTTTTACTCATATAAAACTGACGTAAATACCTCTATTGGAGTTGGTTTTAATTTCTCCCATACTCCAAATATGTACATGTTTTAGAATGGCTGCGTCTGTGTATGTCTCTGTCTGCATAATACTCTCTATCTTTCGTCAACATGTTCTTTTCTTTATAGTTCACTTTTTATAAAGTCTGGGTTTTTCCCCCCTTCTGAAATGTAATAGAATAACCTCCGTCCAAAGTCGAATAATTGCATTAAGGTTTTTGATACGTAAATAACCAAATCAAACCAAGAACGATATTGAGTAGGTATATAAGCTAACTCCTTATTTAATTATGTATTTTGTGTCTTAGATAACGCAAGTTATGACTACGTCATAGTAGGCGCCGGCACTGCAGGCTGCATTTTGGCATATCGTCTGTCTGAGCAACAAGGAGTCCGAGTGTTAGCTATTGAAGCAGGTGGAGATCCTCCTCATGAAACGGATGTAAGATATATTTTTCTATAATGACACTAAAAATATACTATACCAAAAAAATTTTTAGAGACATATTTCTATTTTCAGCTTATAAGTTTGCTGGTGTTGAGATTGAATTCAAATATTTATTGGAACTATGAAACAGAAGAAGGTGATACAACCCAGTATCATAAAAAGAAACATTATGATATTAGTACAGGTAAAGTGCTCGGTGGAAGCAGTACCATCAACAATCTCTACTATTGTAGAGGTAACCCGACGGATTATGAAGCTTGGGTGAATGCTACAGGCGATCAATCATGGTCTTGGCAAAACTTACTTCCATATTTCAAAAAAAGCGAACGTCTTGAAGACGAAGCTATAATTAATTCTAAAACTGGAAGTTTTCATGGTAAAAATGGGGAAGTGCACGTAACAAGAGATCTTCGTAATACTACTAAGAAATATTTAAAAGCTTTTCATGAAGTTGGTCACAATATAGTTGAAGATGTAAATGGTGAGGAATCTTTAGGATTTTTGGAGCCTTTGTATTTTTTGTCAAAAGGGGTTCGACAAAGCACTGCACAGTCATTTTTAATACCAATAAAAAAACGTACAAATTTCCATTTAATGAAAAACACTGTAGTAAACAAAATTCTTTTCGATGATAATAAGAACGCAGTGGGTTTACAATGTCTAAAACCAGATGGAAATATTGTTAATATTTTTGCTCAAAAAGAAGTAATTATTTCGGCTGGTGCTTTTAATACTCCAAAACTTTTAATGTTATCAGGAATAGGACCAGCTGAACACCTTAAAAGTTTGGATATTCCCGTGATTTCTGACTTACCTGTAGGTGAAAATTTGCAAGATCATATAGCCATTATAATAGCCCACACATTAGAAGAAACTACAGACACTACAAAACGCAACAAATCTCGTTTTCCATTGCCAAGTTTCGCTGGATATGGAGCTGTTGATAAATCTCAGCACTATCCAGACTATCAGAGCTATAATCTTATTGCAAAAAATAATCCATTCGCTTTGCAACTACTTTGTAAATCAGTTTTTCATTTGGATGACAACATATGTAATAAGTTGACTATCGCGGGCCTTGGCAGAGAAATTCTTTTGTCAGTATTCAGCTCTAACGGACTTCAGTCACGTGGGAAGGTTCAGTTACACAGTGCACGTCCTGAAGATCATCCAAAAATTAATACTGGTTTCTTATCTAATGTAGATGATTTAGATAAATATGTAACAGGCGTGCAAGATTTTGAGCGTGTAACTCAGTCTAGTTACTTTCTAAATGTCAATAGTGAGACTCTCGATTTACCCGACTGTGCTCACTTTGAAAAGGGCAGCAAAGAATATTGGAAATGTTATGTGCTCAAAATGATGGACGTGCACTCACTTCCTTGTTGCACAAGCCCCTTGGGGTCGGTATTGGACTCCAGATTCCGAGTGAATGGTGTGAAGAAGCTAAGGGTAGTGGATGCCAGTTCTATGCCTAGAATTATATTAGGTGGTTTAAATGCTGTAGTCATGGCAATTGCTGAGAAAGCTGCCGATTTGATTAAAGAAGACGATGCCTAAAAATTGTTATCTATAATGTAACGAAATCGAAAACGAGAAGAAAAAAGAAGGAACTTATTTATATCGATACAAAAATATTATAATTTTTTCCTTATATTTGGTATACGATACTACGATCTTCTTAATTTAGGCATAGTAAATTTAATTAAAAATGAAGTTGAAGATACGAGTAATTAGGCAATAATATTAAAATGTTAATAAGAATTACAGAGAATAATATTATATAATGAATATTTCATAATATGTTTATTTATTTATAGTAGTGTAGAAAGTTTGTATCTCACGCATAATACTAATAAGGAGAGCAAAATAAATTTTTTTCTTGCAGACCAGTAATCAGATCGATAATTTAGTTAGATTCTTATTTCAGTTACTAGCATTGCCCGCGGCTCCGCCCGCGTTTAGATGACCAAAAACCAAATTCTTAGGTTTTATATATTAGTATACTCTTACATTGCATTTTTTGTATTTTTTCTCACAAATGAGACATTTTCCCGGGGTAAAAAGTATCCTATATGTTGACCCGGATAAGCAGATATCACCATACCAAATTTCATCAAAATCCCTAAAAACTATAAATTCGGCCGCTGTATCGATAATAATGACTATATCAATAAGATTTTCCAAAAAATATACTCGTATATTGTACAGATTCGGCTTAGTTACAATTTTATTATAGGTATGTATAGATTACACTGATATACTCGTACAAAAACTCAACATACACAATTAATAAGCATCTTCAACAAAAAAGCGCAAAGGATGGAATAACATGGTTTCGATAAGTAAAAATGTTAATTTATATGTTTTTGTAACGAAATCTAACGAGGATTATTTAATTTTTATTTTATCTGTTTTTTACTTCACAATATTATACGGTCGTTAATATTAAACTAGTTTCGATAAAGGCTTATTTACGAGTATATCTATCTTCTATACATAAAATAAAATTCGAACTGAGTCGAAACTGTTCATTAAATATTTTTTGGAAAATCTTATTGTAATAATCATTATCATCGATAGAGATGACAAATCTATAATTATTAGATTTTTTGTCTGTATGATTGAAACGCATCACGAGAAAACGACTAGACAGATTTTGATGAAATTTGGTATGATGATAGCTAGTTATTCGGGTCAAAATAAAGGATATTTTTTACTGTGGAAAAATATCTCATCTTTGAGAAATCTATAATGTGGTCTAAAATCTGGCTGCAAGATTGCTACGTTGATCGAGTATTAAATCAAAATCAATATTTTATTTACAATAATAATAAAAGGGATGATACGTTTTGGCTGAATTGCCTATTAAAATATGCTCGATAGTATTTTTAATTAAATTAATAATAATTAACTTTTTGGAACAACATCGATTCACTTGTTACCAAAATAAATTATATGGTAAGTGGACCAAGAAAGGCCACGCTCTTTGTAAGGTCGATTATTAAAAACTTTTTTATTAGCCGATACAAATCAAAGCACACCGACTTCGAAAATATCTGATTACGTATGTATAGTAAATGAAAACTACCAATCAATATTTTTTTCTTTTTAGTGCTTTTTTTGACGTCGGTTTATATTTATTTAAAAAAAAAATATTTTTCCCTTTTTAGTGTAGACTTATTAGTAGTAGCAAAGTAAGCAGAAAGTATTTTAATAAAATATTCACTTAAAGTTAAACTGTTTAAGTTAGTTTGATGCCAATTTTTATATAAAGACTGACGAACTAAAATTCGTTCCACGTATCCAGTTCCAGAGTTCCACCTATCCACCTTCTGGCCTTACCATCAGATCAGGTTAACGATACCGAACCACTGCACTATCAGCGGAAATATAAACACTTACAAAGTCTCAATAGTCCAGTCAAATAAGGTCTGAAATCAAAATGTTGGCACTCATCTTTGCATTTTTGATATAATGTAGTTTTAATGATACAAAAATAATGTGTAAAGGTTTTAGTGTCCGCAACCCCCGGGAACGGTTCAAAAATAATAGCCAAAAATGTATTTACGCAATTACTCGAAAACGGCAAAAGTTAGACAAAAAAGTTTTAATAAAAATATGTAGAGCTTAAAATTTTACATCAAAAAAAGTTTTATGACTTATTTTCCTCCGGTCAAAATTAATCAAGTTAGGGAGGTTTTAAGTTTAACTTAAATTTTAATTAAATAAATAATCATTAAATGTGCAATAAAATAAAATGTTTTATAAGTTACATAATAGAACAAAGTGTAACTTAGTAATTTGTTTGTTTCATTACATGGCTCTGTTCTTATTTAAATAGAGTCGTTATAGTTATGTACTTTTTTATATTTTTTTATTGAGTAGGTACTAATTTCATTTATTTAAATATGTTGAAGTAAATATTTACCTGTTTTCATTTATAACGAACAATTCTTAAATTAATGTTTTATTTGAAAGGAATAAATGCTGTAATGGGTTTCATTTTAGGGTTAGAAAATTTTTATAATATTTAATGGTGAAAGGACAAGTTAAATACACAATCAAAATACATAATAGGATTTTTTAAGGCAATATAATCAAATTCTTCATAGAAAATAAAATAAATGTTACAACGACTCTATGTAGCTTTTATACTGACTGACTTCCAAAGGCGATTGTTTTCCGAAAGACAAGTTTTAAAACTTGATAAAACGCACATTGTTTTCATACGTGTAAGTTCGAATTTGTATTAACACAATCAAAACTTTTTTAATTTTTAATTTAATGTCTTGTTGAAGAGATAGGAACTGTGCATCTATGTTTCTATATATAAATGGATAAAACTAAAGTTTTATTATTACAGACGCCTGCCATAAAATAATATCAAAAATATCATTGTACGCTACGATGTTATGACCGTATTTTGTTTGACAGGGATACTAATATAAAAATCTGCACGTTATATTAAATGTATATATGTACCTAATGTGTAGATAGTCTATATTTCTGTATATATCTGTATGGTAAAAAGTATCCTATATATTGACCCGGATAACCAGCTATAACCATACGGCATACCTTTCATCAAAATCCCTCCAGTGGTTTTTATGTGATGCGGTAACAGACAGACAAAAATTCTAAACACTAGATTCGGCCTCTGTATCGATAATAATGTTTGTTTGAATAAGATTTTTTTTTAAATATTTAATATACAAATTCGGCTTAGTTACAATTTTATTTTATGTATAGATTAGAATGTAAGAGTACATAAGTAAATATTTATGTCACTCACTAATGTTTGATTTACTAATGGTTAAATAAATTTTCACCATGTTACTTATATGTATTTTAAATATTATTTATTGTAAACACTGTTTACCTAACGACTGATAAAATGGTATTTGGTGACGTCATAAGAGGAACTACTGCCTTTTTATGTCACTAGATGGCGCGCTTCAATAGTGAGTTTTATCACAATCGATTAAGTAGAATAACTTTGAAAAGTCGTGAGAGACATGTCATACTTTAAAAAAACGATAATAAAGTAAATTTAAACTACATTTTCCTATACAAAACACTTATCAATCAAATGAAATTTTTTTTATCGAAATTCGAACACTGTCAAATATCTACGCCACTACTACCAAATATCACACAAGATAAATAAGATGATGATAACTTATTAGGCGGATGATTAAAAAGTTTTAGTTTTGAAAACAAATCTGTGGATTGAAAACGTTGGAAGTTTCGTATCGGATCTCAAATACCTATGAATAGTAGCCAGTAGGTATTTTATCACTGCCGACTGTGTAGTGTGTACTGCGTAGTTGTGCGCCGTACATTCGTGTAGAATCGGTCAAATTCGGCATAAGTCGTGTAGTTTTATCAGATCGATAGCTGTTAAACCTTGAATCATACATTGCATATTTCATGCCTTTTATTTAATAATTATCAGACTATACTAATATTATAAATGTGAAAGTTTGTGAGTATGGATGTATGATTGTTACTCTTTCACGCCAGAACGGCTGAACAGATCTGGATGAAATTTAGCACAAAGATAGATTCTAGTCTGGAATAACACAAGGCTACTTTTTATCCCGGAAAATTGAACGGTTCCCGTGGGATAGGTTTGGTTTTGTTTTCACAGAGCCAAACCCGAGCGAAGCGAGGGTGAGCCGCTAGTTATTTCATAATAATTATCAGAGATAAGAAATTATCATGTCTGAACTAAGTTATTATTATTTAGAATTTAATTATCAATCTTACATGATATTTAACTTACGTAACATATTTTTTAAAAAGAAACCAAATATGACACTACAACGTGAAAATTTTATTGTCTAATTCTTTCCAGCATGTAGGCCTCTAGTTGTACAGTGTACTATTCTGAGCTTTTCTTCTACGTAATTAGTCGTTTTTTAATTGATTCCGTTTGTTTTACTTTGATAATTTGATTTGTTATACTTTGTAGTTTTAGTGTATTTTGCATATTTATCTATAATTTAAAAAAAATATTTTGAAAATATCTCATCTCTAAGAAATCTATACCTACTAAACTTTAAAACGTAAGTAGGGACGAACCCGAGCGGAGCGAGGGTGAATCGCTAGTGTACACATAAAAATTAAATTCCAAACCCAACCGGTTTGGCGATTTTGAGATGTTCGCTAATGAAGGATCTTTGTAGAAACTTTATCAAGAAAACACTCCCAAAGATATTTTCGTTGCTTTTATTTATTCTTTTGTTATATTATCTTTAGAGTTTCACGATCAATTCAATTTTCTTGTTAAACTGTAGAGGCACTTTACTAATAAGTACAATTTTACCATAACAACCAAACTCATAACCCTCTTTTGGGCTTCGCCACAGTCGGGTAATTACTAATTAGTAAACCTAACAGAGTGGTTGCAACCATAAAATAAACTGAAAAATATAATATAGTAGGCACATATTATATGTATATTGTATGTCACGTTAAACTTGTTAATGATCTAAAGTTATTGTTTTTGGGGAACAGGAATAGGTATTTAACTAGAAACAAAAATCACTTTATTGCACATCAAAGAAGTTTAAAAGAAGATTTTTTTTTCTGATCATCATATTGTTTGATTACTTGACAGAAAACAAAAATAATAACTTATTTAGTTGTTAAATAATTATTACCGCACTTTATTATCTTTCATGATAAAGTAATCTAAAAAGTAGCCAAGTTACATTTTTCTTCCTTGCTCTTACTCCCAATCTTGATGATAACTTCGTAAAATTATCCCAAATTAAAATGCGTTTAAAACTAAAACAACTATAAAAATATATTTACAATAGGTACTATTAATAGCTAAAAAATGGAAACTTATGTCGAAGTTTTCTTTCTTCATTTCCTGGAAGCTGTTGAATTTATATTATATATAAATAGGTATATTTTGTACCAATTACTATAATATTTTTTTAATAATAAGACCCCATGATTGTTGCCAAACTAAAAATGGCTAAATATAAATTAGGCCATAATATAGCTAAATAAAATCCTATGGCTGCGTATTTTTATCTAATTAAATCTTACTAAGCATGAAAACCTTTAAATGCATTTTAGCAAATCATTGACGATATTCCTCAGTACAAAATTCTCAGTCACTTATAATTTTAGAGTGATTTCCAGGTACGTTTTATTATCAATTATAAAAGTTTGTTTAGGAGCCACTACTTCCACGCGGTATTTACTAAATTGTTTTACAATCTGAAGTTTTTTTGTCTTTCAAATTTGGCATAGTAATTTCACTGTAAGATATGAAACTTTTCTTATAGTCATCCAAATTCATTCATCATCCAAAGTTAAGCTGTTGCATATATGTTACTGTAATATTACATACCACTAGCGACTCACCCTCGCTTCGCTCGGGTTCGTCACCTAGCTTGATTCCCCCATACAAACTTTCATCCCCATTTTCACCCCCTTAAGGGATGATTTCCAGAATAAAAAGTATGCTATGTCCTTGCCAGGGTCTCAAACTTTCTTCTTACCAAATTTCATCTAAATCGGTTCAGTAGATCCAGAGATTCCCCCTACAACGTCACAAACTTTACCTCTTTATAATATTAGTATAGAAGTATAGATAAAAACTGGTTAGAATTTAGGACCAAGAAATTACACATCAAAGAAGGACATTATTTAAGAATAGGTATGTAATAAGTAAAACAGCTAAATCTAGACTCATAAGTAGACAATATTTTAAGCACCTAAACTCACTTATTATCCAAAATAAGCACAGTAATAAGAACCCATATATTATAATTTATTAATATTTAATTAATTATGATATCCAATCTATTTTCGATCTTTAAAACAAATCCACGGGTTTTAATATCTGAAAATAAATGTGTATGTGGTCACAGTCACATGCCAAACGAATAAGATGAAAAAAGGCAATAAAAACGGGAGAAGTGCAGTCAAATTTTTCATAATCGACTTAAATACTAACTGGTGCCTACTCAAAGGAAACGGTATTTTTTGCAATATTACATTTAATGAATAGGTACTATTTCAGGCGTCAGACTACGCTCATTTTTTGTCTTTATGTACTTTTCCGTCGGTCCATTAAAATCCATCATAATTAAGTTTATAATTATCTTAGCACTAATATTTAGTTAACTGTAAATTAGGATCATCAAATAGCATGTAAACGATTTTTTATTATTTTATATCACATTTTTAGAAAAGTTACCTAAATACAGATGTACAAGAGAGGTTTGCACTTCCTTATACATTAAAACTTATCAAATATTATTTTATCAGACACATACGTACTCGTATGTTACACAGGCATGTGGAAAAGCCATGACGATTGGTTTGAATAATGTGATACCTTAGTTGATTTTTATTCCTTTATATTTGATCCCCTACTTTCACCGAAATCAATACGATTTATTCTATTTTAGATTATAATTTTCTTTTCTTTAGTGGCTTTGAGTTCGAAGAGTAGAATTCTAATTTTTACGGAAGTAAACGACACTGACGTAATATTTTTAGAAAATATGACATTAGTATTTTTTAAACCAATCATTGACCAGAGTTATTAATTCAGTAGGTAGTGGGCACTTTAAAAATATAATTTAATAATTTTGTATATACATAATATTGGCATTTTTCATTTAAATAACATGTAATTATAGAAGAAAATCTGATAAACACATTTCATATGGCAAAATAATAAAACGTAATACACTTCACTGTTACTGGTTATGATAAGAATGTCACTGAAACAAATTTAGAACGTAATTTTTAATATTGTTTATTTAGCCGCAGATAATTATTAGTTAAAGGAACTAGTTTGAAGCTACATACTGATATTCTTATTAATTTGAGGAATAGAATCCACGATGGCTACGTTATATTAAATGTAATTAGGGCATGAGATACAACACTCGCGAGTAATGTTACTCCACTGGCGGACGGCTCTGCGTCGAATAACGAAAACGAATGCGTTGTGAATTTTAGCACGCTGGCAGTGGCGAGTGGCGGCTGGGGTCTGGGGGGGCGCGGTGCCTACAATCTACAGCTACATTTTACATCGACCGGTGCATTCCGCTTCGCACTCCACGAACTAACAGTGTCGTTGAGGCCCGAGAAACGGACAAATGATAGTTATAGGGTCACCGTACATTCACCTTGAAGAAAAAATGTACATAGACTCTCGTGTGTTCCTTGCCTGTGATTAATATTTTGTCAAATTATTTTTAGTACCTATAGTCATAAAAGGTTAGTGCCAAATTGTTTAGTCCAATCCTTGCAAGTTGAAACGAGCGGAATTTTCCATGCATGCAATGGCGGACAGGACGCCTTTGTCGATTACAAAGAAATTGCGTCATTTATTGAGCAGGAATAAATTCAAGTGAAATATTGTTATTTGCTTTCTACTAAATAATTCAATCATTAATTATATTTTGCGTTGTTCGATTTTATCGTAAATTGACAAAAACTAAAGATTTTTATGAAATTGCAGCTGTAATTACGTTCTTCGTAATGTTGTAGATAATATACAGGCATGTTATTAATTTTCTTAATGCTTTAATAGTAACTATGCATTCTAATCAAAGTATTTATATTTATTAGCTGCTCAAGCGGATCTACTACTTACATAACTATTAAAATGGTTTGGATGCGTAAGGTATGTTTTAGTAGAAAATAAAGTAGGTATATAGTATTTAGTGATTTACGCACGTAAGCATATGTCTACGAAATCATTTTCATCATCGTACGTTCTCGCAAATATGAATAATTGCTTATATACATATAAATTATTTTTTAACTAAAACGACCTACTTAACCAATTAAGTATATTATACAAATAAGGTTTTAATAAGAAAGTCTTAGTAAATTTACTTTCTTTCGCATGTTTTATGAAAATTAAAAAAATATACCAAATAGTAATAATAAAACGAAAAAGAATGAATGAAATTCGATATACTACCTATGTATTGTCAAGGCTTAACCAAGCTCTCCCAAGTCCCAATATGTATACTTGACACTTGTATATAGACAACACGGAGCAAGTCGCTAGACGAGCGGGATAGCAGATATTGCCGTTCGCGTTAACAAAGACGCCACGACCCACGCCCGCGGCCCGCCGTCCGGCCGCCATTTTGTCGTTCATTTTATCCGACGCCACAGACCGGAGGGCACGACGGCGCTGGCGCTGTGCTTCTGCTTTATTAGCAATAGGTATTCTTCTTTATACTTAATTAAACTACATGTGATTCTTCGAATATTAGAAAGGTAATTGCAAAATACCTTACTATGACTTTTCTTCATTTGTACCGAACGCGAGTGTGTGATTTTCGTCGGGCATCTTTGTTCGCAATTGTCCTGGAAAGAAAAGCATGAAATATTTTTGTCAAGTGCAGTTTTATATAAATCAGTGATTTAAAACCATAGTTTAAATACATTTGTGTTGTTCTTTCATTGTGTTAGTAAGTTACCTACATTTTTTTATAATTTGTAAAATTTTATTTCTTGTCCTCACTCGATGTGTCTACGTGGGCACGGAGTCTTTGTAGTCTGCTCATTAACCTTAGCTCTCAAGTGCGACAATACGAAGTAGCAGTTAAAACAAAATTGATTTTAGTGATTGTATTTTTCTAAATTCAATTGAGATAAAATTACATTAATTTTGTTTAATTTTACAGTGTAGTTTTTTGTTGTATTTATTTGGGTAAGAAGCGCTCGTATTTGACCAGCATCTGTACAAAAATGACGATTTTTTTAAAAAACATCGAAAGTAATCCTTTATTTAAAAATATAACATCGAACTATTTTACATCGACACTATTTTACAAAATTGATTTGAATATTTCTACATCACTTCGTCTAATCTTCGTGACCAGTCTTCGCTGCTTAAGCCCGACGTTAGTACGTATATCTATGGTGCCATATTAAAGTAAAAAAAAACTTTAATTCTGTTAAACTTACCCTGCACTTTTCTAAAACTTATTGATTATTATATAACAAAAAGACAATATTCATTATTCGCACAAAAAATAATTTAAATACTTTGATGGACACCTGCGAGGCCTGCCACCTGAGGCTGTTTTTCACAGGTTGACATAAACGGTACCTACTAACAATTTTATGTTATTAGATAGGTATAGGTATATATAGGTTTTATTTATAAATCTCTATACAGTGAGATTCGGTCCAAATCATTTCCGGTTTTTAGCTCGTTTGAACTGATTGACATAAAGTAATCGATTTTCTAGATTTATATTCAATTTTTTTTCTGCAAAAGGAACAAAATATTTAGGAGATTTAAATATCTATGCATTTAAAGATTATTATATTAAATATTATTATACTGATCTTACATTACAATATGTACTAAATTGCTAAGGGCGAAACATATATAATATAATACCATATAATAATAATGACATTTTTATTCGAGCCTTACGGCCTGTCCGCACTGCGATATTTCACCGCACGTTTTTATTCTCGCAATTCTGTAACACATTGAATCTTATAGGAGTATCCGCACTGGCGGTTAAAAATTCACGCGGAAAAAAAACTGTGATTTGATGCAAATTGAACGCGATGCGGCGCGGATTATTTCCGCGCGAATGTTTTGTACAGTATATAATATGGTATGGTATGGCTATGGCCGCACTGCGAAATAAAATTCGCGCGTTTCGCTCAGTCGTGCACCGACGCTATTGGTTTATCGAATGATTTTGTAGTCATTCTGTAATATCCGAAAAACTTTTTACTGTATTTTCGCAGCTCTTGATATTTAATGTAGAAAAACATCATTTTAGATTACTAAAATGTCTCAGTAGATATAGTAGATTTATCATTTTAGACGTTTGTCTCAGTCGGGAACTGCATCAAACTGACAAAAATCGTACGAAATTTTATTCGCAGTGCGTAATAAGTACAATTTCGATCACGGAATATAATACGCGAGAATAAAAATCGCGCGGTGATATATCGCAGTGCGGACAGGGCCTTAAGAAATAGACATAAAATTGCCCGCTTCTTGACCCCTATAGTATTTTCTTTTCGTAATTGAATTACTGTAAGTACCTAGTTACAGCCCCTCGTATTTACAGTGTAAGAAAATATACAGATATCAGACAAATCTGCTAAATTTTACATTTATGCTTACCTATATTTAAATTATAATAATTATATTGTAATTATATAGGTATTAGGTATTGTAATCAATGTGTATGAATTGTAGGTGAATATTACAAATACTAGCGACTCACCCTCGCTGCGCTCGGGTGATTTGTTAAATTGACATAACTTTTTACTTATGAACCGATTGATATAAAACAAATGCTAAGTGTTACGTGAAGCTTACCACAATACAATAGTGAAAACCGCACCCGAATCGATTCAGCCTGAGATTAGTGCGCAGAAATGCACAGACAAACAGACAAAAATTCTAAAAATCATTGTTTTGGGTTCTATAGCGTTAAAGACCTCCAAGAATAGATTTTCTTAAATATTTTCCATGTATAGACAGCGATCAATTACAATTTTATTAGGTATATGTAGAGAAGACGTTACGGGATTTCAGCTCATGGTTCTGCATATATATACATGTATATGCAAACGTAGGGCAAATAATCAAATATTTGATATTAAGTTCCTTAATATTTTTGTCTTTATACTAGCGACTCACCCTCGCTTCGCTCGGGTTCGTCCCTAGCTTGCTTCCCCATACAAACTTTTATCCCCAGTCTCAAGACCTTAAGGGATGATTTCCAGGATAAAAACTATTTCACTCACTCACTTTTCATCTCAGCAGATTTAAAAAATCTTATTAAAAAATTTTTTATAAAAAAAATTATTTTAATTTTCTTCTATACACGATTTCCTGACAATAACAAACACAAAAAAAATAAGAATTATCCAATTTGGTGCAGTCGATCGGAAGTTATGTGCGTACACAAATTTCGGTGATTCATTTTTATTTATATAGATTAGGACTACTGCATAGTAGTAAAAAAAATACGTAATAATTAATATAAAGGTAACAGACCTCATTAGGTTGTTTGTTGATTGTTGTTTTTGAAATAATTTTTAGAATTGCTTCGTACTTGTTTTCTACATACAAAAAAATAAATTACACATTTTATAATACCTAGAGAAAGAGATTTATTATGATGCATTATTATTTTTTGTAATTTCGTACATATTTAGTTACGTTTTGTAATTATTTTGGGAAAACAATATTATTAAATTCAAGGATTGAATATGTAAGTATTAAATGTTTAATAGCTAAATTCTTTTTTTTTTATTTTATAGACTTTTTGAAAATTTATATGGAATGTCATCGAGTGGAAAGTCTGTGACACAAGACCATCGGGACTTACGGACGTAAATATTTAAAAAATGTTTTTTTTTATTATTATTATAAATCCCGTTTATAATTTTTGGTGACGGAATTCTAACATATATATTTATATAAATAAACTAGCATTGTCCGCGGCTCCGCCCCCGTCCAGGTGACCAAAAACCAAATTCTTAGGTTTTACATGTTAGTATACCTACTCTTACAATGTAGTTTTTGTATTTTTTCTCAGAAATGAGATATTTTCCCGCGGTAAAAAGTATCCTATATGTTGAACAGCTATATGTAAACCAGTGTATATGATGACCAGCTATCATCATACCAAATTTCATCAAAATCTGTCCAGTGGTTTTCTCGTGATGCGGTAACAGACAGACAGACAAAAATTCTAAAAACTATAGAATCGGACTCTGTATCGATAATGTCTATTTCAATTAGATTTTCCAAAAAATATTTAATGTACAGTGTTTCGACTTAGTTACCATTTTCATTATATGTATAGATATAACGCAATTATTAAACGCTTCTAGCAAAATTGTCACAGTACAATTTTAAATACCATATATATGTAGACATATTTATTATTAAGAACTAACCTTTTTCTAATTTTTACTACCGACTCACCCTCGCTTCGCTCGGGTTCATCCCTAGGTACGTTTTAACGGTTACTATGGAATAGATAGACTATAATATATTATAGGTATACATTGAAATAAACAGGTTTGAAGTTTTTGATTTTTCAGCTATTTTTTGGGTTTTCCTCTATTTTTCTACACTTAAGCCACCCCTGACACACCCCTAACAAAACAAAAAAGAATTATTCAAATCGGTCCAGCCGTTTTTGAGTTTTAGCGAGACTTAATGAACGGCTATTGATTTTTATATATCAAAATTAAAATATTCAGCATTTTACATATATTTAAACTTTCCAAACTTGTATACTTGTGTTTACTTAGTCTATTTGTCCTATGTTACCTAGTATTGCGCATTGAAAGCGTCTTAAAAAGGTATTAGCTTTCCATACTTCAATTATTTAACTTTTTGTAGCAAATAAGTATCGTTATACCATAATTGTCTTAGTAATTACAAACTATTAAAAAAATAAAAACGATTCCGTGGTAAGATTATAAATCGTGGTAATCATCTAGTTCTAGGTATGTTACAGTCAACTGACACTTGTCTGCGACTTTATATTCACTTTTATACTTCTATTTATGTCATTTATATCCACTAAATGGATGAATTTTATCTAGAAAAATTCATTACGTCGCGCTCCAGTTGTGTATTACAATACATAGTCATTTGATTTAATTAAATCAAATAGTACCGTCTGAAGACCGATAGTAATAGAAGCATTTAAAGTAAAGCATTTAAAAAGTTGTCTACCCGAGTAACAGAACCGAATTACTAATGCGCGTGCGTGTTTCATTTTTCACTGTGACCAATAATTGACTGATCAAAAATATAGTAAACCTAATGCTGTTGAAATTTAAGACTACTAATGCATATTCCAATAATCCCAATCGCGTCTCATAATATGCACATTTATTTAATTATTATTTTTGACTATATATGTACCTATAAAATTAAACAAGATATGTATAAGTTAGGCAGTAGTAGCTCAGTGGTAACGCGATCGCTTGGGAAACCGAGTGAAGCGGGTTCAAATCCCGGGTCTCGCACCTCTGATATTTTCATGTACGAATCATTTCTAACATGATTACCACTTGCCTTACGGTGAAGGAAAACATCGTGAGGAAACCTGCATGTCTGAGAGAACTTAGCAAGTTTTCGAAAGACATGTGAAGTCCGCCAACCCGCACTGGGCCAGCGTGGTGGACTATGGCCTGATTCCCCTAGTACTGAAGGGAGGTCCGTGCCCAACAGTGGGACGATAAAAAGGGCTGAATACAATGTATAAGTTTAAAGACTAAAACCCCGTCAAGCATGTTTGTCTTGAACTTACAAATTTCAACTATTTACTATTTCCGAGTACTGTAATATTACGTTTCATTAGCCTTTCCTATTCATTTTTAGTCCTAATTGATAATTCATGTACTTACCATAAGAATTGACATACAAAAAAATACAGAATAAAGAAAAGAAACTTTTTAAAGTGTGATTTGATTTGGATGTTTCATTATTATTATTATTTTTTAAATATGTATTAACTAAACATTATAAATTTAACGAAATAATAATTACGATAAACTTTATGTACTCAAATATAAAGGAACACATGATCAAAAATATCGAAATTTTGGATATTTCATGAAAATTTTACACTTCTGAGCCTTATTACACCTTTACATTGTTTGTATCTTATCTATCTTACATTTTCTGGTGGTTGTTACAGGATAAAAAATATTTCCTTAGGATATCTACCAAAAATTTTCAAGACTAGAAAGACCCATATCACATAGCACTGTGTGTCGTAATCTAATATGGTTCGATACGTGTCATGGCTTTTCTTAAATTTCACTATGCATTGTGGTCGTATAGCATGATAGCGACGACACGAATTTCGCTATGTGGTCTTTCTGTGGTTGTCACAATGCGTCGTGAGCGTTTTCATAAAAACCATAACACCAATTTCGCGATGTGATTGTTTTACATGACCGTTGCGAGTTGTTTTTTCGCTCAATAAGCGTTTTCGGTCTTTGAGTGTAATGTAGATATATATTAATTAACTATAGTATTCATGATGCAAAAACTAATAGACTTTATATAGTATACGCCTAAAAATGTATTTGTTGTACTGGAATAAGACGTAACCTGTATGCGTCCACGTCACGTCTAATGTTGCTTTGTTGTTGCGTCAAAGGGTAAACTCGAGGTGCACATTTATTTTGCTTATTTTTATACTTATTCGTTTTAACAAAAAAATAGAGAAAAGAATTAATTTTTCCTATTATTATAATAGGAATGTAAAGAAATTAATTATTTACATTTTATTTCTTTTTCGTTATTATTATTCCACTATATGTCTAATAGGATATTTTCTTCAAAAAGTAGAAGTCGGTTTTTTACACTTTATAAATCTAACACTATTTTTAGCCGTCAAAATGGACAAGGACTACGATCACAAGTTCGAAGAGATGAAGAAGTATATCCCTTTTTTGGACAGTATGATTAAAAGACTGGAAAGCACTAGTACTACGTCTAACCCTCGACAAGCGCAACTTAATAAAATAAGATCGCTTAGAGATCTCCTTATGGACAAAAAGAAAAGGTAAACATGTATATTTTCAGCCATATGCAAAAAGACATATAATATGCATATTTTTAGTGTTTTACTATTACTTGTTATTAATTATGATAATTTTTGCAGGATGAAAATGGAAAATTTACTTAAATGTGAACAAGTTTTAATAAACTTATATGCGAAAGTTGAGCAGGTTTGTTTGAATACATCTTGTAAAAATAAATATGATATTTATGTTTGAACGGATATTAAATTTGTAATAATCTTTTTTTAGAGAGATTCGCTGCCTGAAACTAAAATTAATTCTGCGGATACTAAGCAGAACGAAACTGATTTAAACTTAGTGAGAAAGAAGCTTCAGACGGCTGTATCAAAATTACATACTGAAAATGAAGAAACGTTGCCAGAAATCGCTAGAGCAAGTGCTACTGAAGAGCTTTGCGTGCCAGGCAGTAAAGAACCTGCATTGTTTCAACGTCGACCTAATATGCCTTCTGCATCAACTTCAACTCATTTTTCACCTACTAGAAACAAAGAGTCTTCTCAAACGTCAAAAAGAAATTACACTCGCGTTCTCATGTCTCCAGAAACTAGCCAGAAACGTTGGTCTATTGAAGATGTTCCTCAAGATAAACCGCTGTTTAGTAGACGATCTCCAAAAAAATCTCCCAGGCGACTTTCTCCTACTTATTATAAAAAAGAACGTAGAAAATCCAAAAATAAATCAAAAGATATCAAGTCAAAAGATCTAAATATTACTCTTAATGTTCCAGAAGAAAGCTTGAACTCTTTAAATACCAAAGATATTTTATCAAGAATAATAAATTGTAGTGATAGCGACGTTGACATTGCCACGTTACGTGAATTAAGGACTCAAATACTAGGTGAGCTTAAGGAAACAGGAGCAAAAGACGATATTTCTGATATTATTTTAAAATCATACAAGAAAAAGGATAAAACGGTGAAAAATGAAGAAATTGAAGAAGGAGAACTCTCTGATAGTGAAAGTGAAGCCATAGAAAGTATTTATGGTAGTCTAGTCATAGTAGATAAAGACAAGTCATCTTCTAACTCCTCACAAAAATTGACAGATGCCGATAAACCTCGTAAAATTCAGATTTGTCTTGTCATTAATTCTGACAAGATTAAAAGTACAACGCAAGAAAATGGCACTATATTATCTGTCGACAAGTCTGATTTCGAAACATTTAGTAAACATGAAAATGAGAGTACAACTGACAAATTGATGGACAATGCTGAAAAACAAATCAAGCCTAGTTCTGTTGCCAATATCAGCCAGCCAGACAGCCAAAACTCTAAAGCAAATATAGAAGAGTGTGACAAAGATGTAATTACAATGGAAAAAGATATTGAAAGTAACGAAATAGTCAAAAAAGATTCACAAAAAGATTTATCTGTAAATGATGAATTGCCAGTTCCAAAAGAAACAGATTTAACTAAAGAAGTTCTTAAACCTAATTTTTACACGCCAATAAATAGATCAGAAGACGTAAAAGATAAAAATGATCTTCAAAATGAACAACCGTTAGATGATAAAAGTAGTAGTGAAACTTTAAGTGCAATAAAAGAAAAACAGAGCCCTGTAACTTGTAGTAATCTCGATAAATCAAATCTAGATGTAAATTCTAAAACTGATAACCTTTTACCATCTCCCAAAATAAATTCTGAAATACCTCTTTTAGAAACAACAAAAAAAGTTTCCGAAATTGACATTTTACAAGCTCTGAAGAAGGAGATATTAAGCGAAACGAATAGCGTGCTACCAACGGAATCAATAACTCCACTGCTTCATCTTCCTAAAGTAACAAAAGTAGTAAACGCGCATGAAATAGGATCAAAAAAAAGAATATCAATTGAAAACTATAAAGCCAAAACGAGTGGTCCTACAAAGCCAGCTTTAAGTGACGAAAATGTCTTTAGCCTTGGCAAAGATGATGTGTCCAAAAAACAAAGCTTAAAATTAACGGAGAAAGAATGTGAACGTTTTAATTTTTTAACAAAAATGAAATTGGACACAACATCTGACGACGAAGATAAATCTAACATATCACTAGAAGATATTTATAACAATTTAGCCCCAAAATCCCCTGATCATGAAGATTTTGCCGATACTGGAATTAAACCGCCCGTGATCATTCCAAGTGATCCAATTGAAACGGCAAATATTAATAATAGTACGGAAGCTGATATTGACATGAGAAAAATTCTACCAATATTACAAGTACACGATTCGAAAAATAGCATTCCAGTGTCACCATCACATTGTAAAGAAAATATGCTTAAACATTTAGTTTCAGATAAAGATGTCAATAAAAATGATAATATTTTAATAGATCCAAGAGTAAATAGGGAAAATAATTCTGTCGTTCCACCAGAAAGCCCTAATCGATACTTAATAAATTCTAACATTAGACCAAGTACTGCAGTAAACTTTGGCAATCCTACTTTTAACTTGAATAATTTTCATAACACAAACTCTAATTCTCCTGCTACATCCAATTCTAATAATACTCTGGTTATGGGCACAATGGTATCGGGTAATTTAATCACTGGTATAACAGAAAATATATGTAATGTCGCAGCGAACATGACGCCAAATAGAACATTAAATATTGGTTGCAATATGACACCAAATACACGAACTTTTGAAATGACGCCAATGCGCCAATCATTTGACAATGATGACTCGTTAATGACGAAACATGTATATGCACCATTATTTCAAGTTTCAGACCCCCGAGACACTATCGAAAATCAGTGTCAGCAATGGGATAATTCCGATAAAAGGCAACTTTCTTGGGAGGAAAGAGATATGAGAGGTAATTCCGTTCAGAGGGATGTAGATTACAGGAATCCTCGGAATAATTCTGTGCAAAGAGATATAAAAATGTTTGAACAGTACCCAAGAAATGATAGATTTATGTATGACAATAGAGATTTCGGAAATAGGCTAGATTGCCCTTCAACTCCAAATACAGAATTTAGTAGAATGGATTGCGCAAATACATTGAATCCTCCTCCCACCTTTGGTAGGATAGACTGTCCATCTACACCAAGTCCTTCTTTTGGTAGAATGGATACTCCAATGACTCCACTTCCTTCATTCGGGAGGTCAGAGTGTCCATCAACCCCAAGTCATCCTTTTGGTAGACCTGAACCATTTTCTACTTCTTATATGAGGCTTGATTTTAACCAGAGCTTTGACAAATCTCACGATCCAAGATTAAATAGAAATTCTGATTACGATAATTATCATCATTACGATGATAATAGGGACCGTGGTTATTATCAAGAACGAATATATAATTCAGGTTCTTATAAGGCGGACAACCAGCTTAACGATTCCGAACATTATAGAAGATATCAAAGAGAACAAAGTATAGGGAGAAATGAAAGAAACAAATCTTACGAACAACGCGGCCGTAATTATAGAGAGCCTCGTCGCGATTCCAGTGTTGGTGAAACTTATGATAGAGATTATGAATCAGACCGATACAATTCTAGACATCGTGGCTCTGGTGGAAGAAATTACGACTATCGACATCAAAATCCATACAAAAAATATGACGACTCGGAGCGGCGTAGTTTTCAACGTGAAAAAAGTGTTGGGAGGTCAGTGGGTTCTCGTGAGAGATTTTCACGATCGTTTACTCGAGATCATAGTGTAGGCCGTTCATTTTCTAAACAAAATAAAACTTCTGTACAGAATTCATTTACAATTGATACAAGTGTTAATCGGACCTTTCAATCGAAAAGTAATAATAAAAATGAATGTTCGAGTTTTGATGCACGAAGGCAGCGAGCTGCAAGTGTAGGAAGGACTTCAATTGGTGATTCGACTTTAAATAGAGAATTTAATGAAATCAGAAACATGGCTTATGACAGAGGAAATGATACAAAAAGAATAAAATATAAACGAGCATGCAGCGTGGGAAGAGAAATTATTAAAGATAATAAACTTGACTTCAAAGATATCAAAGCAGACTTAAAATCATTTAAATTTAAAGACAATATTAATATTGTTAAAGGTAAAGACCAATACAAAAAAGATGGCTATCATAAAGTAACTGATTCGAAGAAGGTTAGTGACAATCGCCGCCGGAAAGTAATTCATGATACCCTAAACAAATCTTCATCTAGTAATACAATATATTCACCCAGGAAAAATAATAGAGATCCAAGAGTAAGACGTGAAAATTATTATGAGAATAAAGACAAACATAATGAGAAATATCGAAGTAATTCACAAGAAACGCAACGTTACGGTATAGTATACTCAAATGATAACATTTCTAAGGGAAATATACTCGGTCCTGGATATGGCGTCAAAAATTATAAAATACCAAAAATAAAAAGACCACTAGAAGTGAAGGGTATAAATGAAAATGATAATAAAATAAATATTGAAGATGCAGCTGATAAACCTTTAAAAAAGAGTGTAGGTCAAACAAATTTGGAGAAAAAGAATATTAACCAAAATGTAAGAAATAGACAAATGGATACAATATCAGCAAAAAAACATATTGGAGATAATGAAAGTAAATCAATTAAAACTGACGGCAAAACTGTGCTCAATGAACAATCTGAATCTAATGAAAAAAATAAAATAGAAAAAATGATATCGAAAAATGTTCAAATGGCTAAAAGTAACAAAACAGACGCGCCAGAAGTTGATACATATATTGATAAACATGAAGATAAATCAGGAGATGATAAAGTAAATAATTTACCTGAAGTTTCCTTAGAAAATGTCGAGAAGCGAATTACAAGATCAGTTAGTAAAAATATTACCGGAAAATATGTGGAAAAAATAGATACTTCACCCGTTAAACGTACGAAAAGAATAAGCAAACTAGTTATTTATGATTCGGATTCGGACAGCGAACAAAATCAAGAAGATAATATTAAAAATATGGATAACTTGAATATAGAAGAGAATATTGTACATCGGCAGCGTGATTTGCAAAATTTTACTACAATTAGTGATGAAAATAATTTGGATAGCCAAGTAAGTCACGATGATGAAGTAGCCTGCAATAAACGAGATTCAGAAAAAACTGAAGAGAAACAAATGCAGGATACTTTAGATTCTAATTTTGAAATTGATGAGCTGGAAATATTTTCTGATAATGTAGTATCGGATCCAGTTATAGATAATATAAATGATTTGATAGCAGACTTGGATCATGATTTAGATTCCTCTAAAAATGCGAATGCGAGTAGTAATTTTACTAAAGAGCTAAGTCTTGAAACCATGATGGAAAATATAACATGTTCTGAAAATACTGAAAACAAGGAAAGTGATTTGACAAATGTGGTTGACAGTCTTGAGTTTGAAGTGAATGCATGTAAGTCCAATCAAAGTAGCAATATGACAGTAATATCGGAAGTTAAAGATCATATAAATGCTGTACTAGAACAAACTACAAATGAATCATCTTTGGAAGTAGGTAATAAAGATAAATTAGAATATGACGTAAATAAAACTAAATATGCGAATTTTGAGAACAATGAAATTAACAGAGAAGTCTTAGATAATCAAGTTTGTGAAAACGCACCTAAAGAATTTGATATGATAAAGACTAATGTAATAGAAGATATGCGAAGTAATGAAGCTATTGTATCTACTTCAGTTAATGACGATGAACAAAAGAATAGAACAAATGTTGAGGATCAAGTTGAACACAAAATAACTCTCACTGAATCTATACCTGACAGTACAATAACTTGTAACGAGATAAGTGAGAATGTAAATACTCAAAAAAGCTTACCTGATAGTACCAATGAAACAAAATGTGAAATGAATTCTGACATATCATCCACTCACAATACTACCGGAACAAAGAGTCAGAACACAGATCTTTTGGAACCAAGTTCATCTCAAACACCAGCAGCTCAGGTGGAAGCTATTGGAAAGTTACTATCAATATTACAAGATATTAAGATAAAAGAGCTTATTGGATTTTTGGGTGATCAATCTACTGAAAATGAAAAAATAAAAAAGAAACTTGAAAAACTTCGTGAAATTGTATCTGAAGATGAGGATACAAGTAAGAATGAAAAGGCAGAAAACGACGATAGTATTTTAAATGAAGTTAAAGATTTACAAAACATTTGTAATGAATCTGATGTACAATGTGATGAAAAAGAAAAATTCAGCACGAATTTTCATAAAGGTGATGAAAGTAATAGTAACATAGATACAAAAAAAGAGGATGTGGAAGAGTCTGAAAAAAAATCGATAAATTATCCTATCAATGAGGAAACTGTAGCAAACACAACTAGACAAATTGAAGTGGTTGAAGACAATAATGATAATATAAGTGAAAATAAAAAAAAAGAGATAATGCAGGCAATCAATGAGGACAGTGAAAATAACGAAGACATATTTGCAGAAGCTTTGAAAGAAAATTTGAAAACAGCTAGAAAAGGCGGCAAGGCAAACGTTACAAAAAAGGGAAAAATGAAATTAACTAACAAAATCATGCCTATAGAAGGCAAAAGACTTACACGTTCCGATGCGGCAAATTTGCAAACGGAGAAACCTCGAACAAAAAAAATATCTAGGGAATTACAAAAATTGCAAGCTGACATAAAAGAAATGTTTATAAGAGACGATGTTTTAAGTGTAACTGGTATAAGAATGTGCCGTTTAGCAAAACTAGTTGATGATAAAACAAATCAAAAAGAGGAACAATCTCAAACTGAATGTAGTCAATCGATTAACCAAGAACCCGTTGTATTACTAAAAAAGTTCAATGATTTCAATAATTCTGAAGAATTAGAATCTACTGATATATCAATAAAAAAACGTTCAGTAAAGTGTAAAAAAACGGATGAAGGTAACAGGAGCCCAGTAGCAACAGAAGTTATAACAAAGCGAAAATCTGATATTGTTGTAAAGCCAGGGCCAAAATCTAAGACAAAATTAATGCAAAGCTCTGATAATAGTGACCCGTATATGTTTGAAACCGATTCTATTACTGAAGCATCTAAAGTAAGTGGAGTTAAAAATGATGACACGAGCTCTGACTCTGAAAGTGAATCTCTTAGTTCCTTAAAAAGTTTTGGTAGCGTTGAATTATTTGCTGAAGTTAAGAAAAAAGTTAAACGTAAAAGAGCGTCTAGAGGGTGGAAAGCTGGAATAATTAAAAGAAAGAATAAAAAAAAGAAAACGGAACGTAAGCAAGTGAAGACGCAAAACATAGTAAATGATGAATCAGCGGAAATTCAAAGTAGTCCTGAAACTCCGGCGTCAAATTGTTTTATAGACAAGACTTATTGTTTCCGTAAAAATCTAACTAATTACAACTGTCGCATGTGTTCTTATAGTGGAATGGAAATAGTTCAACATTATAAAAAACAACACCCTCATTATGAAATCCCACTGTCAAGAATGAGTCCAGCCATGGCAAAAGAAGCCATAAAGGAGTCTGTGAAATTAAACTTTCAAGTAATCAGCAAAGTTTCATCTAAAAAATATGTTTGTAGGTTTTGTTTTGAAGAATTTGGCAATAAAAAGCCAGTTTTAGAAGCATTCTTTTGGCACATTGTGAGCATGCATACTGGTGAATATAAACAACTTTGTTCAGAATGCTTAAATGTTACTCGTTGTCCATTTAATTTAGATATTCCACCGCCTCCAAAAGAAGCCAAAGGTCAACTAATAGGTTATATATGTGAAAAATGTAACTATACTCAAATATCACTAGAAAATCTTAAAACTCATGTTATAACGCGCCACAACGATGAACAAACTGCAGTTTACACAATTAATTTAGCGGTTATGTCAAAAGCTATTGTCAATAATCTTTTAGAAAACTCTGCCCAACGAGATACCGAAATCAATATTGCTGAAGTTGGTGCACCACGTATGCTTAGAAGTTCTCGTTCAAATCTAAGTTTCGCAGAGAGTAGTGACGTTAAAAGCGATACTACTGAAGGCAGCAGTCGAAAGAAATTAAAAGAAGAAATTGAAAAGCCTACAAAAATGCATACTAAAATTACGTTTGAGAACGACAACACTGATGAAATATCGAACTTTGATGGTAATGACATTTGTACGATTAAAACAGAACCTGAGTTGAATGAACATCAAGATACTTCGCTTCGTAATGATGACGAAGAAAAATGTACTAGTGACGAAATTACTTCTAACATAAATGTAAATGAAGAAGCTATCACAAATGCAAATGATATTTTGGATTACCCTCATTTCAAGATAAAATATACAGAGACGGGGACTAAAGAGTACGTATGTTGTATAAATGGGAATTATCATTATAAAACAGTGCTATTAATTTCGTTAAAGAAACATGTACAAACGAAACATTCAGAAGTATGGGATGGATATTGTTATATTTGTAAGGTAATAGTTACGCCTCAAGGGCCTTATTATTTTAAAGATTGCCTACAGCATATGTTAGATAAACATAATAATTTCCCTATTATAGAAGAAGCAAAAACAAATTCTGAACAAAAATTATCAGAGATGGAGACCAATACTTCTGAGAAAACCTCTAATGACAGTACTCCAATAGTAAAGTCATATATAAATGTGCGCCCACTGTCAGATCTCATTACAAAACCACCAGCTCCTCAGCCCCCTATAGAAAATCCGTCCCTCATTTTACCGATCATTGAAAGCGTAATAAGCCTTGGTGCTGCAGTTGAACAATCACGCCCTAGTCCAACTTATCCAGTAACAGAAGAAATGAAATTAAAAAAAAAATACAAATACGAGGAAGCTCAAGCAGAAATAATGTTAAGAAAACATCGTGTTGTTTTAGAAGCGATGATGTCTCATAATAAATTAGTTCAAGTGTTCAAATGCGCTGGTCGATATTGTTCATTTACAACAGATAGTGCTGAAGATGCTTTACTCCACGCGTCAACACATACGCGGGTTGGCGGCGAAGATTCCTTGAAATGCGTTTACTGTGATTATGACTCTTCAAATAATGCAATAGATTTGATAACTCATGTATTTAAGAACCACGGATGCTGTCAATTCGTGTGCAGCGTATGTTTTTATCGCGCCGCAGCAAGTCAATTAGTAGATGCTCATATTAAAAGGGTCCATGAAGCATCTGCTAATAAATCCATTTTACACACTTCAATTCAAACAGCACTAATTAAAGAAGATGATATTTTATCTCGAGAAGCTGCCGTTCATTATTATATTTGTCAGGGTAGGTATTTTTTACTGATTTAATTATTTTGATTTGAGTATTTTCTATAAAATTTTCTTCATATTATTACCTAAAATAAAAAAGAAATCTTTAATAAATAATTTCAGTCGGACGGGGTACAGATGCTGCATGTAAATTTAAAACTTACACTCCTGGAAAGTTCTCGGAACACATGAACATGCGACATAGCACTGATAAAGAGTTTCCGTGTAGTGTAAGTCTCATTTTTAATATATATTTTTTATCATACATACATATAAATATATAATATAATAAAATATATACAATATATAAATACATATATATAAGATTAATGAGAATAATAATTACACTGACATGCTTAGATATTATAAAACTCTTTCCCTATCAAGTCGTAGAACAATGCTAGATGTTTGTTTTTTACATAAACTCATAAGTGGAGGAGTAGATTGCAAAAATTTATTGACAAAAATTATGTTTTCTATACCGAGACAGAACGCAAGAGCCCATATAAAAAGAAAATGCACTTTTCAATGTCGAAAGGTAAAGTCTAACTTAGGCACAACTGCTCCTTTAAACAGAGCCGTAAGGAGCTATAACTTGCTTTTTAGCAAGGCAAAAATTGATATTTTCCAAGACTCCGCCACGTCATTTAAGAATAAATTAAAAAATATTTCACGCACTCGCAATAAAGAAAAATAAATGTTTGTTATGCCACTTGCATTTTTAGTTCATTTTTGGGTTATTAATTATGTCCTTATTTTTTTTTTATTTAAATACATTTTTCAATTAACTTAGGTACTGATTATTTATTATAATGGTTGTGTAGATTATAGTAATGATTTTTATTGTTTTTGGCTGTAATTTTGTTTTTATTTTCATTTTGTACTGTTTTTTTATCTTTAATTTAGTTTTTTGTTTGGGTGTGGGAATTAGGGTTGGAAGTAGAGAACGCCTTATTATATTACATGTTGAGCTAGCCTGTAAGTGTGATGTACAGTGTAATACTTTTTAAATTTGTTTTATATTTTTAGTTTTATATCACATTGTATGTTGCGTTGGCTTGCCTAATAAATAAATAAATAAATAAATAAATAAATAAATAAATAAATAAATATAATTATCAGGCAGTGGTAGTACAGTAGCAACGCGCTTGCTTGGGAAACCGAGTGAAGTGAGTTCTAATCCCGGGTCTCGCATCTTTGATGTTATGTGCGAATCATTTTCCAACATTTTTACCACTTGCCTTACGGTGAAGAAAAAAATAGTGAGGAAACCTGCATGGCTAAGAGAACCTACAGCAAGTTTTCGAAATACATGTGAAGTCCGCCAACCAGCACTTGCCTAGCGTGGTGGACTGGCTTGACCTTGCTCGTATTGAAAAGAGGCCCGTGCCCAGCAGTGGGACGTTAAAATGGGCTGAATAGATATGATTGATATCATTGCTTCAAGTAATTGTTGCTTTTGTATATAGTAATTATAGAACAAAATTTTTTTTACAGATGTGTCCAGTAATACTGTCTACGCCAACAGATTTAGTAAGTCACACAAAAAGTCACGGCTTAAAGTTGTACCAATGTGCGTGGTGTGTATACGGTTCGGATAATGAATCGGGATTATTGGCTCACTCGTCCTCAAATCACCCTGATAAATTGCCTAAAGCGTATTTAAGAATAATTACAAATAAGGTGCGTTCATGTATTATTTAATTAGCATATATTTTATACCAAAATTTAGAATATAAAAGCTCTAATTGTTCCATGTTATTTAATTTTCAGGAAGGGACTAAAGAATTTAGAGTTTTGCCTCTAGCACATTTAAATAAAACTGAAATTGCTTCTATTTCTATTGCATCCGGTAATTTTAAAGAAAACCCAGTTAGAGAAGCCGAAAGGTCGATAGAATTACAAAAATTAATCGCCCAGACAACATTTGTGATCGGATCATCAGCTGTTACTAGTAGTGACGATGGACAAAATACTGAATCGCACACAAATTTACAAGAACCTTTAAAACCTTTACAAGACAGCAGCATTGAAATGTCTTCGCAATTACCTATAAGTAGCAAAACTCCTCCACATCAAATCGAAGAAATCAATGCACTCGAAAATCGACTAACACCTGTTATTAAGGCGGAAAAGGATGAAACATCTACTAAGGTTTCCCAAATTCTTCCTGACATTGTGTGTTTAGATAGTGACGAAGAAGATACTCAAAATGTAATCGATTTATCCGAAGACGGTTCCAATGCTCCTACCGCTACCAGCTCTTTAGTAGAATATTTAACACAAAAGACAGTTCCACATACAAAATTATTTTTGTGTGCTAGGTGTCACGTAACATCGAAATATTGCTCCACTTTTAAAAAGCATATAAATTCTTGCTTCAGTAAAGTCTCCGATCCTATCAGTTGCGCCCATTGTCCGTTGAAGTTTAATAAGAAGGATATAGTTAGCCACTATACCACTGTTCACTCGCAAAGCAACAAAGTTGCTTGTGTCAAGTGTCCCCGCAAATTTAGTACACTAGCTTTCCTTAGGGAACATGAAAAGACTGAACACAATTCTACTTTGAACTCAGCTTCGAATGTAGAAAGTTATGTTAAGAAAAATACAACGGGTCCTACACGACGAAAACGATCTCTAGGCAGCAAAGAAAAATACTCTGAACCTCAAGAAAAAATCAAAAGATTCGGACCACATGACGTGCATTTACTACCAATTAACCCTATTCTAGATGATTCTGTATTCTGTTCTCTGTGTGAATTCAGCACTAAAGTGAGACATAATCTGGTCAGACATTTGCAATTGCATGCACAACAGCAACCTGTGCCACAAACTGCTCCTGTCAATCCAGTGCCCCACTTGGAAACAAACGAAAAACATTTTGACAAAATGCTTAATTTAGCTTCAAGTTCCATCACGACTAGAATGGATAAGAACAAATCGGATAACAGTGTCGCTTCTTTAATTATACCACCAGAGGCAGCGTCACGTTATCCAAAATATATACCAGAAAAACATCGTCTCACTTGCGGTGCTAAAGGTTGTTCGTACATATCCGTTGATGAGTCGATGCTTAAATGCCATTGGGAGACCTTACATACTGGTACGAGTGTATTCCATTGCGTACATTGCCCACCTTACCAGCATTTAGACACTTCGAAGCCTTTAACGGCTTCTAGAGTTATCGCTCATCTTAAAATGCACGATACTAATTTATACGCTTGTTCGTTGTGTTCCTACTATCATTATAAACGGCAAATATTAGAACATCACTTGAATGATGTGCATAAAGGTGGCCAAGTATTGGTTGTTAGAGAAGAAGGGATTGCAATGCCAACGAGCCCAGCGCAGCCTCAAATAGCTGCTCCTACAATGGATTTGAAGGCATGGCATTGTGGTCTTTGTAAATTTAAGAGTTTATTAAGATCGAATGCTGTCGATCATTGTGCCAAAATACATAATTCTAAAATGCAATATAAATGCGCGTATTGTGCCTTTAGGACATCAAATTCAGAGAATGTTCTAAAACATCAATCGAAATCACATACTGGGAGGCCAGAAGAGATCTTCTATTACTATTATCAAGAGGGCACCGTACCTGATGACCCAGACGGTACCCCGCTATGGCAAAAACAAAGCCAAAAGTTTGTAAATATAGAATCTAAGATTAAATCTGAGGTTCCTAGTGAGAACTTACCGTCTCCGAGTGTGAGTCGAGCAGCTACTCCTCCGCAAGCCTCAGTAAACCCAGATATTGATCTTAATCTAGTGAAAAAAGAAGTGGTAGAACCTTCTGAAGAGACAATAGAAGATTTGTGCAAGGAATTTGGTGAATTTTGTGAACCAAACGGTCTAAAATACAAGTGTTCTTTGTGTAAGCTTGTCATAGAAGACACTTTGGACGCTATGCAATCTCATCTCTATGAAGAGCTTAAGTATAGAAAGTAAGTCAATATCTAAATAACAAATTTATATAGTTAAAATATTTATACCGTTAATATTAATATTTACGAAATATATGCATATATTAAAAGTATGATTTTATATACGAAATTTAATTAATTTACAGATGGGGTTGCAGTATTTGTACATATAAAGCATTCCATAAAACTGGTTTAAAAGAGCATATGGAAATTGAGCACAGACAAAACAGAGACCCAGTTGCCTTGCAAGTAGATACCAGAGTTGAAACCTGGGTCGCAAAACTTTTAGAACATCAAACTGCGTTAATCCAACAAAATATAGCGAATCTCGCAAAACAAAAGGAAGAAATCTTCAGACCAGTTCCAGGAACTGTGACAAAAGCTCCAAGTGCGGCAGAGATAACAGTGTCTAGTAGTGCAACAAAAAAATTGAATATGATGGAGTTGCAAAAGACATTCGGAGCTTTCGGGGAGGCTGTCAATATGTCTTTTTGTTGTCCGAAGTGTAATGCTCTATTTAAAGAAGAGGATGCTATGCAAAATCATTTGGAAAGTGAATTAAACAAAATAAGGTTAGTACAGCGTGTGCATTCATTAACCGACTTCAAAAAGGAGGAGGTTCTCAATTCGGTTGGTATTTTTTTTATGTATGTACACTAATTACGCTGAGATTTATGATCCGATTTACGTGATTCTTCTTTAGTTTGATGCGGAATAGTTGCCATTTGGTCCTATAAAAATGCAACATAGTTTGGCCTAGTAGTTATCATTCTATGAACATTGTTGTTTAAGTGGACGATGTAATTTTATTTTAGTTTGTGTACGGTTTTTTTAGGAGTTTTCATTTACTGAACTGATGAGATGATAATATGACAACTGGATGCTGTGTGTCCCAACATAATATAATATTTATTTATTATCTAATTTATGAAATTATATCAAATAATGTTGACAATAATAAATAAACTTATATCATTAAAATAAAACGTAGTTCTGTACAAGTGTAGAATTAATCTATACATATAATAAAATTCTAACTAAGCCGAATCTGTACATTAAATATTTTTGGAAAATCTTATTGAAATAGTCATTATTATCGATACAGAGGCCGAATCTATAGTTTTTAGAATTTTTGTCTGTCTGTCTGTTACCGCATCATGAGAAAACTACTGGACAGATTTTGATGAAATTTGGTATGGTGATAGCTGGTTATCCGGGTTAACATATAGGACTACTAGGTTTTTACTACGGGAAAATATCTCATATCTGAGAAATCTGTACTAATCGTTGAAACGTAAGTCGCTAGTTAAAAATATAATTTTTAGTAAAAAATCTTTGAAATTTCAGGTGGTTTTGCAGTCATTGTTGTGTGACATTCCAAACTTACCACGAAGCACAGTTCCATTGTAGAACTACTCACAGTGAGTTCTCCCGACCCGTTGAAGTCATCAGAGATCACTCGGTGCGTTTCACCTGGATTGAAGGAGTTCTACGTGCACAGAAACTTAGTATGAATCAAGTGCCGGTACAGAGAACAGATACGGAAACTGAACGCCCAGAAAACTTCGAAACCGAAAATGCACTGCTCATGGTACGATACGAAGAAAAAGTGCCAACGCCAGAGGAACAAATGGCTTTAAGGACGTCAGTGGCTAATCATGACAGTGACGACGAAACGTTAGTAATCGACGAACCTAAGGAAACCCGGAAAAAGACGAGGGGTTGCCCTTATTGCGATTACCATGTAATGAACTATAACTATAATAGATTACACATTCATATTTTACGCCACTATGGCCTTAAACCATACACTTGCACCTACTGTAATATAAACACAGCAAAAAAAGCTTTTTTTCAACACCATAAAGAGAAACACGCCTCTCTTCCTCTAGTACAAAAGATAACAGAAATTCCTAGTGAGAGTCCTTTAGAGTATCTTGAAAAAATATCAAGTAACATACTTATTTGTTACGTGTGCCGCAAATCATTCACGGAAAATGAGTCGAAAGAACACACTCATAATAACGAAGTTCCATTATTCGGAAAAAAGAATGATATTGTGATTAAATGTTCTCAATGTGCCACAAATTTTTATAACAGTGTAAATTCTTATCAAGAACACCATAAGATAGCCCACCCGAATGTGCCAGCAAACTACGTTTTAACCAAATTAGGTAGCAAAGATGTAAGAGAAGTAGTGTACACTTGCGGAGATTGTAACCAAAAGTTTTCTTCTTTAAGAGATATTAAGTTGCACGTGATCACTTATCATTCTTCGAACTCCGTTTCCACGACATTGCAAAAAGTACATCTACAAGACAGCAACATCCAGGATGATGAAAGTCTCAAAAGAAAGGCGGATGACGTCACTATCTTACCACCGACCAAAAGAGTAGCAAGAAAATCAACAACCAAATTGCCATATTCCAAACTTTGTGCTAGAAAATCTACTACAAAATTGCCGTTTGATATTCCTAGCGAATCTGAGGAGTTTTCATACTATGGTACCAAGCCTTCTTCAGATGGACTTGAAAATGTTACAGCCATGATGTCCTTCTGCAACACAATGATGCCGTTCACCTTGAAGAAATTAAGCGAAATTATAAACATTAACCCCATAGTGCTAGTGACAAAAACTACGAAAAAGTAATTTCGTCTCCAATCAAAGAATTTGTGAAACGTGGCGAATTTAATTGAATTGATTTTGTGGCCAATTTAATTGAGCTGATTAAGAAGATGCTAAGCTGATGATGATGCTAAGATGAAGATGCTGAGCTGATTAAGAAAATGATAAGCTGATGAAGAAGATATTAATAAAGACATATAATTGTTAACGGGTGAAGATCAAACCTACGTCCTTTCAAGTCGGACGTTCTTTTAACAATTGAACAATATTTCTGTGATTCATTGTGAATTTCCTTTAAGTAAGCCAATTATAATGGCATAATCTGTGATTTACTCACTATAATGCTGAATTAGAATTATAATGGAACCGTTTGATTATTCAATGAAAGCATTTGTTTTGTTACTGTTCCTGAGATGTCACGACTGTTTTTTTTTAATAGTTTTAGTTCTTCGTTACATAGATTAAAATACGCTTGTAATTATAGTACTCGAGTTAAGGTAATTACTGTTTTGAGTATAAGTAGTTTTATATTAAGTATTTGTAGTTATTAATTGTCCAAATGATGTCACTTCCATATTATTATTATATTTTTTTTTCTTACACTTGCTTTTTTATGCTCACCTTCTCATCGTTGACGTTGATACGAGCCCGAGGAAAATAAAAATATACAAACAGCGGTTCATAAAGTTTTTTAATTAATGAAGATAAAGATTTATAATATGGCTAAAGATTCTTCAAGAAATATATAAGTTTTGAGGACAAACTATCACACAACTCATATTGGGTATACAAATTATCAATGCATATCAATATTTTGGGAAATTTATTAAAGCCTTTGATTACAATATATTAATATTTGATATTAAAAGTCCTTCAAGATATTAAAAACAAAATCCAACAGTAAAAGCTTATAAACTTTTGGTTAAGTTATTAAACATGTACAGAAACTTAAGCAAATAAGAAGCTACACAACTAAGTATTAAAAATATTGTGAAACAATGAAACACTTTTCCTGCTATAATCGTTATATTGACAGTAATAAAATTTATATACAGAACATAAAATCATACTTCCCGCCCAATTGTCAATCCATATATTCGTCGTCATACTTTTTCTGCCTGCCTGGCAATAATAAATAATATATGGATGTTGAAAGAATATTGCGATGAACGCTCTAGAGAAAAAGGAATCTGGTACAGAACTTTGCAATGCCTCTTCGTGGTCCCTGGCTTGATATGATTTCTAGCAATAGCACTTTAATTAAAACAGCTTATATTTGCGTTCTGGACACATGTTATTAAATAGTTTTCTATTTCTTATGAAAAAATTACTCTCACCAAACTGTGACGTATGTGGGAGTATATGAAGATATTTATCATTTATTAGTGGAAAGTGTCCGGTACGACTAACAAAGGAAAATCCTAATTAAAACATTGATTCTGAATTGTTTCGATATAGATAATTTTCAACACCATTTTGTCCATTCCTACTTCTGAGGAGGCCAAGATGGTATACAATTTTGTTAGAGTCCGGTTTATGTAACTAAAAGCCTTTAAAATAAATAGAAAAAGAAGATAACTAATGAAACATTAAGAATTTCATTGAAAAAATTATATCTATGTTTTTTTATATTTAAAAGAAAAATATTTATTAAATAAAACTACCTTTCTGGATTATTTAGCGGATTTATTGTTTAGTTACCGGCGTTTCTAATGTTTTACAACAATCATGGTCACGGGAGACTAAGGTTTTAGACGTCTCAAAGTCAAAAACCTTAAAATAAATCCGCGAAATATTCCAAAAAGATATAATATTTATATCTAATTTTATTTAAAATGTCAAATATTCGAGAAAATATATAGCAAAAGTGTTGAAGGTTGAGTTTTCAGTAGTGATAGCTTTATTGTATTTTTGATAGATGGCGCTATTGATGTAAGTGTTATGTGACAACTAATATATACGAAATAATTAGTTGTACAATGACTAGATGGCGCTAATATTTACAATTTTACTAAAACAGCCTTTTAATTAAATTGTTTAATTATATAATTTAAATTTTAATACGTTATTTGTATGAAGGTGACTATTGTAATAATAATAAAATAAATAACAAAAACAAAATAAAATAAAAGGCATGCTTTATCTATACATAATATGAAGGTATTTATTGGGTCCGAAACAAAATAATTGAAATAGGGTCTTGGACTGTAGTAATAAAATGATGTGATGTTTTGTATAGCGGTAGTTTATGAGGCTAGAATTCATTATTAAAAGGAATAATTAAATAAAAATCATGATTTTTCTTTATTTTTAACATAATGAATATTTTTTTTAATATCAATCACGTGACTACAACCGCAAATTACGGTGCGTGACGTCACATATCATTGTCACTAATGTCTTATATGTTATTTTAAGATCTGTGCCAGTTTGTTGTGTATACAGTGTAATTTCGAAAACTCAATTCTCTGTACTCTCAAAGTTTTAATTGTTTAAGTAACGTAATATTTAAATTTACTAGTATGTTATGCATACTTACATCAAAATTATCTTCATAGACGAAATCATTGATTTTATGGATTGTTTTTTCCAATCTCCCCTTGCCTGATTCATCGACTCTTTTCGCCACATTTTATCATGAGGCACAGGTATAAATATTTTCTCAGTTGTCTTATTGGTATTATTTTCACATAAGGGCACTGAACAATACTGATAATACTTAATTGCACTCATTTTCGATATTCTTGTTCCCTTTTCAATTAATAATTAATCGATCGAGCCCACAGATTACGGAATATAATCGAGCCCTTTACAGTCTACACTACACACGCTCTGTATGATAAGTGACGTCACGCTCGACGTTTGTTAAGAGTGGCGTTTTAGCGCCAAATTAAAATGTGAAAAATAATTTTAAATTTTTTATATAATAATACAGTAATTTCTGCGGGAAAATATTTTTAGCAGCATATTATTTATGTAAACAATAGACAGAGATACTTTTCATAAAACAGTCCAAGACCCTATTAAGCAAAAGTTGTAGGTTCCAAGTAGCCATTATAGAGGTCCATCTCCGAGTTCCCAACTGAAAAGTTACGGGTGTATTTCAGAAGTAGATCAGGTAGGCCAGGTAAAATTCGATGTCCCCCTCAACGTGCGTTCACCTTGTCGTGGGGGGCTCAGTAGTGCCCGGCAATCCGGCCGGGCGCGAAGCCAAGAAACGCACAGGGAGGTGGCCCTCTTCGGAGGGCGGTGTACCATGCGGGTTGCTCCTGGTACTTCTCTGATAGCAGAGTGGAACTTGGAGCAACCCCGTGGTTGTTGTGGTCTGCTTCGGCAGACCTGCTATCGGGGCGTCGTAGTTGAATGCGTAAGCGATCCTGCGACGCCCCATTAAGACGGAGGAAGGTTTTGTTGGGTTTTAGTGGGTAGTACTAGCTTCGCCGGTGAGTCCCACACCTCGTGCGTAAATGCATTTCCCAACGTTAAAAAAAAAGGTAAAATTTGATGTAACAGCACACAGTTTTTATTATTTTATACAAGGTGGCAGTAACGAATCAAACAACATTTAGGGATCGGAAATCCAATAATTTTTTTAACCGGTTTTGGTCATTGACCATTTGCTAATAGTGAATGGCTTAGTCATGAACGAATTAACCACTGGACTAGACATATAAGCGGACGTACCTTTATCGGTCTTCTCAGTAACCAGGAGATTTTAGGCTTGGTCGTTTGTTTTTTGCGTCAGTCTCAAGCACTTATTTGTCAACAAAACATCTCCCAAAAATGACTAAATGTTCTGTTAAATGATGTAAAAACTATAACGGCGGAAGCAGCAGTATTTCTTTTCACTTGTAAATACATTATTTTATTACATTTATTGTTATTTATCACACAATTTAATTAAATGTAAAATAAAATGTCATATTATCCAACTATGTTAAATATAGTCGATATTTCTATGTATTGTTGATATCTGACAACCATCATAAAATCCCTGGATTATACCATTCAGAACAAATGACTAAACTGTTGAGTGAGTCCATTTGACATCGACTAGTGCTTGACAATGTCGAAAAATAATATCGATATTTGACGAAATTACTAAACGAATTGTGTTATTTGTACAGTACAATAACATAAAATACTTTTACCACAGTATCCTACAATCTGATGACAATAAATTTATAAAAATATTTTCTAAATCAAATAAAAATATAAATGCAAAAATTATAATTAGTATGTGTACTTAATTTTTATTTTATTTTATTCCACATTTGTATACTTTGGAATATTATTCCATTGTAATAATAATAAAGATCATTTTATTTCAACACATAAATTACACAAAATCAAACAATAATGTTTTAGCACTAAACTTCTGGGTTGGCGATTTGTAATAAAACACTTTACCACTTGCACTAATTATTTTACTTTCACGATGCAACACTCACTTTAATTTGCAATCTCTTTTTTTTTTCCTAATTTCACAAATGTTTATTAAGAACTGAGCAATATTAGGACAGTGTCACATTTTTATAACTACTACTGCCTCGGTGGTGTAGTGGCTAGCATGTACGGTTGCACACCCGGAGGTCCTGGGTTCGAATCCCGGGTCGGGCCAAGTTTAGTTATTGAGTCTTCCTGTATAGTAAGTCTCAGTAACAGCCCGGAGTTGGGAAGTTGGCGGTGTTTCACCCCCGTGCCTCGGAGAGCACGTAAAGCCGTCGGTCCTGCGCCTTAACTCTCACCGGTCGTGTCGAGTGGTCGTCCCACCGGAGTATGAGAGTGATAGGAATAGAGAGTGCACTTGTGTCTGCGCGTACACTTGAGCACTATAATATCTCCTGCGCAGTTGGCTAATCTCATTGAGATTGGCCGCCGTGGCCGGAATCGGCTAGGAGAGAGAACATCTTATAACTACCCAAGACAATCAATTGCCAATTAAAATAGTTCAATAACAGAATCAACAAAATCACTTTATTTAATTAAATTAGCTTAATATTTTTTTAATCTTTACAAAA